CAACGTGGTGTTTTCGCCATGTTAATTTTAAAACGAACAATAGGAATTATACTACATATATATAATGCAAAAGTATAGTATAATAATGATTATTTTAATATTGAAAATAATATTTGTATGCAGCTTTTTGTTATAAATTTTTAATGGAATACATTCTATTTTTAGTGAAAGAAAGTGCGTTTTGAAAACCACGTTTTTAATAGTAAACATGTACTTGAAACGCGATTTCGCGATTCCTGTTCCATTTGAATATATTAAATTCGACTTTCTTTTTTTCTAACTACCATGTTGTATTAAAAGAAGAAATGGAATTTCCCCTATAACGAGGCTGTAAAATATTTGATAAAGCAATATCTGGAAAATATATTCGGCAGAGAAAAAACTCACACACAGAATTATAACCTTGTTACATTATTTAATTTAACTTCAGGTTTTTATGATTATTATAACAACATGTAAATAAATTATGAAAATTTTATCTCATAATTTTACTATGTTTATGGTAATCTTATTAATTATACAAGAAATTATGTAAACATTTATTTAATTTCTTTACATTGTATATAATTTTTATTTAAAAAATACTTTAAAAAATCACATAAAATATATATGTAAAATTGAGAAATTCTTTAAAAAAATTGATAAATTTTTTAATTATATTGAAAGAAGTTAATATACTTAAAGAAAAAAAATTTTTAAATGAAATTGACTTTCGGCATTAAAATATAACTTGCTGCATTAATCAGCGACTCAATCGTGCGAGGCAGTGACATTGGTGCCGCTCTATGTCTCGCATTGCGTAAGACCAAGTATTGTTTCGTTGAAATAGGACTAATCATAATTACCCTCATTACCAGCCGACTAATGCCAGATATTATTCTGGAATATCGTTGATCCCGAGTTTGTTTCGCAGACGTAATAGTCTTTACGATCACCATAACGATCTCGGTGCAGCCCATTTCTCAAAAGCTCACCTTTTAAAAGACAGAAAACCTTCATTATCTTTCGCTATTTGTCACGATGTTAATTGTAATGCGATGTTTTCTCAAGTAGAACCGGCTAAATAAAGATAATCATGAAAGATAATCGTTTGCAACGTCAAAATCTTTTGATGCTTATTTGATCTAACAATAATGATGTGATACTATAAAGGAAGAAATTATATAATATTAGTACAACGAAAAAATTTGTACATTTCGCCATAGAATTATGTGCTGTAATTTTATAAATCTATTAAAACAATTTTTTTGAATAGATGATCTTTCGATAATAACATAATGATGCTACACTATTTATTTTTTTCGCCAATGCTACATTATTTATTTTTTTCTGTGTTCAAAATTCTAAAGCATAAAAAATTCTAAAAGATATTAAAATCAACCATGTTTTGACTGATTTTTATTACGTGTAAAAACAGCAGCAGATTTGCTAAAAAATATCTAATAGAAAGTTAAAAAGCAAAGCCAATTTAGGCAGCATATTTTTATCGAAAAGATTAACCTAACCAGTTATACTTTATGCTAATTAGATCTACTTTATATGCTAACACATCAACACACACATATTTGCAAATTAGGCGAAACAGTACCTTTCTTTTAATTTATACTTATCATTTAATCTCTTTAAGCTTGATCACTTTCACCGATAGTTTCGAAATGCCTAACAACGTCGCCAAGCACGTGCCCATAAATACTTAATGCATGATCGATCTCCTTCGATATTCGTCCATCTCGTGTCATCTATCTTGCTTGAAACGATTGCATATATAATTCTATATTCCATGACGTAACTGATTCCTCAGCCCGTCAGCGTATATTTTAGCTCGCGGATTGCTCAATGCAGTGAACGCAAATACGAAACATTCATTTTTTGCTATCTATAAAACATGCATCTGTATCAATGTCGTCGTATCGACAGAAAGAAGGGAAAGGGGATATCGAACCACTTTCGGGATCACTTTCACACACAATTTCGAAACGGACGATTTCGTCGAGAGGATCTGGTCGAGAGGTACCTTCTTTCCAGGAGATACAATTAAAACGATTACATCCGATTCCGGTTGGCCGGCGAAATTGCGCGCTTCTTTTCTCTCTCTTTCTTTCTTTTTCTCCTTCTCTCGCCGATTTTGGTTGATCACCGATATACATAATCGACGCTCGTATCGCGCCAGCAAAACCAACGTAAAACTGTGCGTGCAACCGACAGTGAAAGTGGACGAGAGTGGCGTCCAGTCAGCCGACTTACATTGTGCGTCTCGCAGACATTTCGCGGAAAGGCACAACTTCCCAGTCTTCCGATTATGCAACCGGTCGGACCAGTTTTGGGGCAGATCGCCAAAGCGTCCATCCCCATGGGCGTCGACCAACCATCTATCTCGGACCGGTTTTCATCTCGAAACGATTTATGATCAGTCACCAGAAGCATCTCTCAGCCTTAAGCTTTATCCATCAATATTGCTTAATCCTAGCATTATCACCCGGAGAGAAACTTTCTTCGTCAGTGTCTTCTTTCATCAAATTTATCCTTCACCTATCATTATTTCACTACTCTGTTACGAAAGTAAAAATTAGAAAAAAGGAAAAGGAAGATAATTTAATTAATTAACAGCATCTTTCTCCATGTTATATAACATGCTGATCGATAACTAAAATTATAAAACTAACAATTAGTATCTGAAAATATAATAAAATAGAAAAAATAGAAAAAAATAATTGATACAAATTATTCTATTTATTTTCTTTCTCGTTTCCAGTTTTCAAAATTATCACTAGATCTTTTCAACAAAAGTCACACTATTGTAATATTCGTTTAATATCCAATCGAATCGAAAACAAAATCGAAATACGAATTATAAAATTTAATATTTTAATAACTGACGCCTATGCCTGGCGTAATGTTATATATTCCTTACAATCTACTCGATTTCTCATTTTCAGATTAATACTGGTAGATATGTATCAAATGGAATACGAATCGTTTTTAAACGCAATATTATCGAGGTAATGTTTAATGCGCATCTCTGAAGTAATACTTTACTCATATTAAGTAAGAATTTCAAAACAATTTCAGGATAGAAACTTAAAATAACACGATACTTAATTGTGAGGCAATCTGCGATTTCATAACAACAGATAGATCAATTCGGAATAGCTAGATTCCACGGATTTTACTATTTTTTTGCTACAATACTTTCGACAATTTCCATATTTAAGCTATTGACAGGAGGGAATTAAAATTGCGGATCGATACGCTTTGTTACGGTATTAATGGAATCGCATGTCTTTTTGACAGGAAGCAAAATGACTCCGGGCGCAAGTATTTCTGGATTACATAAAGAATTACCGTACACTATGTAATTTGGCAATTTAATCGGTTGTTAAGAAAACATGAGAACTTTATCTTGCTGTGTCAAATATATTGAGATTGACAAGCTTTCTCACCTTCTCTTCATATTAACATTTTTTTAATAATAAAGAATATAAAATATATAATAAAACATATATAACAAAACAGAAAAATAAAATATAAAATATAAAATATAAATATATAAAAATATAAAATATATAATAAAATATAGAAAAATAAAAGAAAAATTAATATAACTTTTTCACATTACATTTGTAAAATATCAAAATATTAATTAGTTATAAAAGTTGCAAATAAAATTTACATAAATCCTATGAATTCGTAAATACAGTTTAATTATAATTAGGAGAAGGGAAATTTACATAATATGAAAAGCAGAAAAAAGTAGCTTATAAGTTACATTGTCAAGTTTGCAGTTATGTAGTGAATCGGTATTGAAATGAAATATTCCGCTTTCGTCGTCACGATAAGTATATGCATTACGTCGAGAAGTGATAAGATCAGGAATATTTCCGGTCGTGCTCGATAAAATGCCACATTGCACGTTCGATGATGTAAGCATTTCTTTTTTCTTCGCGGTCGATTTCCGCGTCTTCTTCTTACGCAAAGCGGGCGGACCACTTTCTGGACAGAGACCACCTTTGTACAATTACGTTTTAGTGACGTGCCTTTGCAAACAATAATGGCATCTCTTGTCACTACTCGTGAAAGCTGTCGTCCTACGCGTTGGCATACATTGCAATGAAAAATGGGATGGGAATGACCGTAAAATGAAAATATTCAGTAGAAGCGCCGAACCTATTGTTATACAATTTCTCGAATAATATTTATATCTAATGTTTATCTAATTTTACATTTCTTGGAAAAATAGATATTATTTTTGCAAAGATGTTATATTAAAAACCTAAAAATTTTTCATGCGCAGTTTATTAATTTAATTATATTGCTAACAATTTTTTCTAAATTTATTAATGAAATTTTTGTAATTAATTGGCATGATTTTAACATACTTAATGTTAAAATGTTTATTATTCCGGCATATCATTTATTGTAACAGTATACATCAAATAATAAATTGACCGTAATATATAATTACATACATTTATAAATTAAAGCAAAATTAATGAAAAATTGTTATTCGGATTAACAATTTTATTAAAAAGAGTAGGAGTAATCTAATGGTGGCGATAAAAGACATGTACAATAAGGTGACGAAGGATGAAGCAGCTCGATTGAGTTTACAGGTAATTTGACAGCAGAAGCGCGATTTCACTTGGTACGATTTCGCCGACTTTCAATTACGCAAGATAAGGGACCTGCCTCTCCTCCCCTTCCTCTTCCAATATATCCCATCCTTTGTTGTTAAACGTCTCTTATGCATCCATTGAGGAGAATATCTTCTGCTTATCGAATAAAAAATCTTTTTCTCTGATGAACGCGAAAGTAAAGGTTTCGGTTAACGAGACTTCTCTCTTGAGGAGAGTTCGATAAAAAAATTCGATCGTTAAGAAAAAATATTTGGATATCTGATGATATTAAGATGTTTTATTTATAATATAAGTGTAAGGATATTAATAAGGATATAAGGTATATTTGTAAGAATATTGGAAAAATTAGAGCATTCACATTTCACAAATGTTTAGAAAATGAAATTGTTCGTAAAAATGTTGCAATACAAACATTTACAACAAAGGGACAATTTATTTTACTTATCAATAGTTAATAGTTACAAGATACGAATCATGAATTGTTCAAGTGTATAAAATAATTTATACACTTACATTCACGCACGACACATACAACATTTTTTTCCATGCACGCTTTATAGATTGTATTATATATATATTCTTAATTGTAAAAAAAAAAAATTTCTGTCTCTACGTAAAATACCTCATAACTAATATAGTGCGTTATATTTAGGATGAAATACGTTTTATCTTGCATACCTGAAATACTTTTTATCTTGCAAAAAAAATTCAGTTTGTGCACTATGCACTTTAGCGCATTTGTTGGCAGTAGTAATAATTATTTTTTTTTTATTAATCGACTTAAAATAAATAATATTTGAGTGGATAATTTAATTATTTTTGTTCAGGATTCTTCGGCGGCAATCTTATAGCAATATGATTATGCGATTTGGTATATTTTGGCAGATTAACGGTGTGTAGCGAGCTTTTCCTTATTTTTATCATCATCAATGCCCGATAATATATTGACTGAATCATTGCACTTAATAAAGCATCGATACTGTCCAAAATGTCATTATGATTCCTGTTGCGATCCAAGACACATAGCTCGATGCAGAACCGCCATTGTAAAAACCGCTACCGTAGACCTGCAGCCCTGCAGTTTCTATGCTCCTTTTGCAAAAATCTCCATCTGTAATAGATTAACATCACTTTGAATTGTATAATAGCTTTCAGACTTATGAATCAAGACTGGTTCTTTGCAAACAACAAATACCTTGCATGTATTTTTGTTTCATTGATTAGACAAGACTGCTTTTCTATTAATTGGTAAAGCACAACAAGATGTGTTTACGGTACAAACATATTTAAATGATAGTTGTGATTATCCTTGGGCAAGGAATTTGTTGTAGAAATTGGATGACTGTTTGTTGGAGATAGAAAAGAAAAAAATAAACCGCTTTATAAAATTCCGTAATCGAGATCGACAGGAACAAAAACGGAACCTTGCGGCGAGTAAAGAGAGAGGCAATCAATCTCCCTTTCCTTTCGTGACTTTTGTTTCTCCGGTTTTGCGGATATTCGTCAAATTCATCGATTGAATCATGTACCGTTCCGCTTGATTCGTTCATACATTAAAAGCGCTCATATCGCGATCTTACATCTCACTAAAGGTGCTCCTGCTATACAGTTTAATCTCAGTTGTTACAGCAGAAGGTACGAAGTGGAAACGTAAGGCTACTTAATAGTAACACGTTCCTTTTGTTATCTTGCATCATGCACAATAAGACATTGCTTCATTTAGATAGTATGACGTATTAATGCGATTTTTTAAATAAATGTCATGGCTGCGCTTGAGAAATTAGCGATCTTTCTTGTGATTATAAGTATCATTGGAAAAATAACATCAATCTCCTCGAATGAAATATGATAGGATAATTGATAGTACATGACTATACAGAATATTGATTCCTTTGAAGAGATAGAATAATCTAACTTTTAATTAGATAAAATTACTTTTGCAGCACGTGTACAGAGAAAGAAAGAGATAGCGAATTATTTAAGATAAATTATAGTTTGTATATTTTTTTATTCTTTTTATAAATTAAATAATAGTATTCAACTTTCAATCTTTGAATTATTTGAATTTAATTTTATGAAAAATTGAGCTCGAAATACTCTTATTTTTTACTTTTCTGTTACATCAATTACATATAACACGAAAAAGTTGAACAAAAAGAAACAAAGATCGAATTAAATTCAAATTATATTGATTTCTTAGCGTGTTGTTACATGAATTATGAATTTTGCATGTACATCTCTTTCTATCAAAATCATTTTTGAGAAGAAAGCTCTTCTTGCTTAGCATGACTAAGTGTTTGTTGCTAAATTAAATTTATGCGTCATTTCTCCCATTCATTTCATCGGTTATTTTTGTTAAAAATATTAATAGGACGCGCACGGACAAATTATGTAAGAAGAGCTGCAAGTGTCCAAGTTACTCTCAAATTCAGGTTAAACTAACGATACTAACGTTGCCTGCATAACCGCTGCAATCAGGTAAAACGAACTTCTGCAATGCAAATTGGTTATTCTCAAACAACTCTCTAACATTACGTTGTGTCTTTTCACCTGCTGCGACTGGACATGACGAATATATTTACCATGACTAATCCGTCTTGTCATTTCGTGATTCGCATTTTCTTAACGTTGTGCATAAAAAAGAAGTTAACAATTTTCAACCTTTTAAACGTACATTTAACGCATCTCAATTTCAAGACAACTCCCATCTTCCATATCTATCGCCAAAAGTATAATTATTTCCTGTTGGAGACTAACCCTGTCCAAGTAGATCAACCATGTGACTAGTGTTCTCATTACATAATATTACGTACGCCATAAACTCGAATGATTTCTCGATCCGGTTCAATCACGCGTGCCAGTTCCTGATTGACCGCGTGAACGCGATATTCGCTCTCACGCGAGAAGAGACGGCGGTGCATGTGTGATGGAGGAGCGAAGGGAAAGAGACAGACCCGCGTTCATAATATCGGCGAGCATGTGCACGTGCAAATCTCGGCTTCCATTCGCGAGCGGACGGATGCATCGGGGAACTATTACGAGAGAGAGACTACGTCTGTAATATCGGCGCAACTTGTACTCTCTCGATGGAGACCAGACTGCCAGAGTCAGTCGTCGAACGTGAATGTCTCACGACTCTCGTTTAGCCCTCTCCTGTCTTCCCCTCGCGTCTCCACCCCCGCCTCCATGTTTATATTCTTTCCTAGCTCTCTTCTGCTCCAGCACCCTCTCCTCATTTCGCATTTCGCTTTCGTAATATTGCTAGTCCCACGGGGCCAGAACTTTACAATCGGGTCCCCTGACTTCGAACTGCGCTGCTTTTGTTTCATAGATTTGCGGAAATAGCGCCAATATTTCCTAGCGTTATATATATCGAGAAAAGAAATCGTCTCGAACTAGAAAACTTTCTGATTGAATAATTTGCATTGCTCGTCTTCCATCAATGTGTCTCTGTAATTACATTTTTTTCTTTTTCGAGGAGAGTTAAATTCCTCGCTTGGCGATATATAATGTCGTTTTCATTATGGTCGAGCTTTGGTTTTATCGAAATTCCTTTGCTTGTCTCTCTTCCCGTTTCCTGGAGACATTCTTAAATAATTTATAACGTTTAATACGTAACGTTTAATACGTGTTATATGCGTTTTATTTTATTTGCGAGAATTCATAATTTATTCCGCTCGAAGTGCTCCGTTATGTGCTTTCGAAATGCATCGACATAATTTATGGGATAAGCGCAGCGCGATGTGCTCGTATATGTACATATCCGAGTTCTTTCCTATGTAACCGTTTTTTATATAACGTTCGCCGGCGACCGGCGTGAAAAATTTGGCAAGATGTATGCTCTGCTAGGTGCAAGTCGTTAATCTCAATAATTTCGCCGTACATCAGATCGTAATTCGCAGTCGAATGTCGTCATACAATGAACATTTGTAGCGCTTACCGCTAAGTAGTACGTGGGAACTGCAACCTTCAATCTGTTACGGTAGGAAATTGCATAATTTGTAGCAAGTTACATCGAAAGGCACGGTTCTATAACGACACGTCAATCGATTTCTGCCCCCGTGATCGGGTTATAAATATAAATAATTACTAATTATAACTGAAAATGCACGTGGAATATCGCTGTAAATCATAATATGGAGAGTATTGCAGCGGTCCAATTATCATATAAATTTAAACATGTAATGCGTTTCTCACCGTATGACCAGCCGACAATTTCACCCGTCCTCAAATTCTCGGTCCTCAGCCAATCCTCCAACGGCCGGAAGTATTCCCTAAGAGCGGATCCGTCTAATCTGGCCTCACCAGTGGCTTCCCGGAGCGTTTCCTGCCATGGAATGGACGAACCCTTTTCCATCAATCTCCTATAACAATATATTTTTATTGCTTCATTAGTTACTCAAGTTTTTAATATAATTGAATATTAACAATAAAATATGTAACAATCCCTTTGTTATAATGAAATTATTAAGTTATTAAAGATCTTGAACAATTTTCTTGTAGAAAAAATATATAATTAAATAATTTTAAAAAAATGTAAAATATTATATTTAAATGGAAGTAATTAAAAAATAATGGTTAATTGTTAGTAATTTTTGCTAGATTATATTTTAATGAAAATATCTGGAACATTAAGCAAAGGGAATGTGTATGTCACGTCATTGAGAGAAAGACGTCATATAATCCAGTAAAACATGATTACATAAAGGCTAATCTCAATGTGATTTGCAGGTAGATATTATTCAGTAATGCGCGCATAGTGTGGCGCTACGAGTTATGTATTTATGGCTCGGCATTCTTCCTTGTGTGTTGAACGTGCTTCTCGCATAGAATGCTTCTCGCGAACATATCGAGAGAAAGAGAAGGAGAAAGAAATAGTATAGGAAAGAATTGCGAATTTACGGAATCGTGATAGCAAGGTAACGTAGCACGTGATACATAATGAGAAGTGTAATGGCGCGCGATTTTATAATTCCGCCGTCAATTCCACGATTTTCCAACCAAGATATTTATCTCTAGTAATCTGTGTTTGCTGTATGGAGACTCCTACTCTGACACGCTATAATCCATTTCTTCGGTAAATCGTTTCCACTGAGATTTCAATCTGCACAGACGATTTATTTCGCGTTATGACAACGGAATGTTACCGAAGAATTTATTACATTATTATTACATCGCTATTTAAAATTCTAGGAAAGAATTTATGTCAACATCCACGTCATATCTTTAACAATTACGAGCTGCTTAATTGACTTAGTTATTATCATAAGTAAGATTTATATTTTCCTTTATTTTGCACACCTGAACTTTTTTCAGCAATATTTTTTATTCTTACTTTATTTTTGGAAATAATACAAAAATCAGAAATATGTCAAAAATTTTTAATAATTAGTATCCTTTGTTTTCATTTGTAATATATGAGTTACGATAAATATGAATAAAAAATCGTTAGGTATATGCTCCTAACATTTCAATTTTAAATGTAGATCATGTTTAAAAATAACACGATACTTGCAGATTAAAAATTCAAATATTTTTTATTTTTGCTTTCATATTTCTTATTATTTCTGTGAAATAAGAATATAATTCTTCGGAATAATAAAGAAATGCAAAAAATCTGTTATATTTCTGCTCTTTCCCTTCGCTGCATTTCCAATATAAAATGCATAGCTATAAAATGCAAATTTAATCAAAGAAGCGAGATGATAATGATTTAATCTTAAAAAGAGCTAAATGATGAAACGCAAAATGAATTTCAATCAAGTCGTCAATACTGTCGACGATCATCATGCGCCTGTAACGCCGTGCGATCTAAGATTAAATGATTTAAAGGCGATGCTACGGTCTGAGAACTGGTGCATCGTGCCGAGGAGGTGACTGTTTAGATACGAGATCTATGCTGTTATGCAACAGTGGCAGTATCCCGCGCCTCTCAAGTCGATCGCTGAATCAACGTTGAACTCTTGCAACTTTTCCTCTGTGCATAATCACGGAATTGGGACGATATTATAGCGTAACGCTTATTATAGTAATAGCGTACTCTTAATTGGTTTATTTAAAAACATTTCGTGAGCATAAAATGTTACACTGCGTAAATTTTTTCTTAATGAGTGATTGCGATTTCATGTTCGATTTACAAGATTTTTAGAAGAATTTTTGCACTTTTATAAAATTTTTTATAACTTTTTATCCTTGCATATATATATTTATAGCAATCGTTGAATTTTGCATATTTTTCTGTTCATATAAAGTAAAATGAGAAACATATATACATATGAAATTTAGAGAAATTATTTATGTTATTTAATTTTCCTTGAATTATCTAATTGCTTTACCACTTTATACTCAGATTTTTTAATAAAAAGCCTTCATTTGTACATCCGATACAATTAATGAAACTAGGTCGAGTACGAACGATCAATCGGAACAATATTATTATTCATATATCACATTCGCAATAAATCGTCTCAGGGCCGTGCATCGGTTACATCAATAGCAGTGGCTATCTAACTGTAGTAATTTCATGTTATCAGAGATTGTGCGACCGACGTAGCTGTAATCGTGACACCGACGTTACGAGCCCTTTCGCCACGCGAGATTTCGCAGAAATCAATCCCGCCTATCGCTTCCGGTTCCTTCGAGAGATCTCGCTCTCGAAATAAAAAACCTTCATACATCCGCCGTGCCTTTCGTGAGAAACGATTGGCAAAGATATTTCGATATGATTCCGGGAGAGAGGTTCGATTTCTCCCTTTTTCATTTCTCTTGTTTTTTTTCTTTTAATTTAATTTATATTGATCGCGTAATTTTCAATGCTTGATTCGTAGGCGAAAAATAATATTTTTTTTTGCTGACAATGCAGTGATACATTCCACAATGAGAGATGCTGTGGGCGAGAGTGTTTCCGATTTAATATCAACAGGCATATATTGTGTTTATCAAGTGTAAAAAAAAATAGCGAACTTGTGACAAAATTATTGAATCTAGGAATATAATACATAAATAAAATTGTTTATCATATTATTATTATATTATCTATAAAATAATCATAGATTTTAATTTGTTACCACAACAAAAATTTTTCTATAAAATGCTTTAAAAAGTAAATCGTGTTTCTTTTCATGATTGTGGATAGAGATGATCTTTAGAATATTTTAATGATAATTACGTTCAATCATTTTGAAATATAAATATTTTGAAATATAAATTTGAAATATAAATGTACAGTATCCACCGCAAAATCTTTCTGCCATTTCTTGATCGAAGCAACACTTTCAAATGATTCCTTTCCGATTCTCTACGATCGTCCGTGACAACCAAGGACGAAGTACCAATTTGCATTTGCGTTTAAATCACAGTGTCGATAGTTAGCAAATGGAATAAATCAACCATAATGTTGTATATCTCTTTTGCAATTCAGAAAATCAACACTGATCAAATAACATGAATGAATATAAATTTGCGAATATAGTAATGTAAATAAATATCTAATGTATATGGTAACGTAAACCAATATAATATTTTAATTAATTTCACGTGGAATTTTAATTTAAACTTTGATTACGATATGTATGTCACAATCTAAGATTGCTAATCAGAAAGATTTGTTAATAAAAGATTTGTTGAAATATCTTTTAACGTTGTCGTTAAAAAAGATAGATTTCAAATTTATACAAGAATGAAATTGATAAGTAATATGATTTCTGTGACATTCTTGAAAAAAGAACTGTATATGTGCATAGGAAATTGGCACAAAAAGATATTAGTAGACGACAGAAGGATCGCAAAGCTTTCCACCTTCTACTCAAAATATTTGCAAAATACAATTATTTGCTTATGCTTGCGGAAATGCGATATATATATTACGTGACTATTGACAGTGATTTACGAGTAATTCTCCAGTCGTGCGTGTGCGACGCCCTCGAATCTTGCGTAGCGAAAACGGAAGTGTAACGCGTAACAGCCGCGCTCTCCCGAGCGTCGAGTTTCTTTGGTGTATTAACTGCGAACTCTCTCGTGGTATGATGGTAACCGTTCCTTTACACGATGCACGCACGTTTTTACCGCGTATACTGCTTTCGTAATCGTCATCGTCGTCGTTATAAAGCGTCATAAAGCGAGAGCTCGAGATCGTCCTTCGATTACAGGAAGTCAGCCCATGCATTCAGCGGGATCTCGATTTTCATATCATGAATGATCTCCGATTGAATTTCCGTTTCGGCATCCATGTAATTTATAATGCACTTACCACGGCTCATATGTTATATAAAAGTCTGAATAATAAGTAGATTGGATTTTAATTAATAAAAAATGTTGGATATACAGATAGATTCCAATAATAAGTAAAATTTAATCATATTGCAATTGCCATTGATAATTGTTAAAATACCATTCTTTATGTATTTAATGATTTAGTGATAATTAAATTGAATTATAATTTTGATTGCATAAAACTGTATAAATCCTTATTCAATTTTTACAAAAGTTTTACTGCCTTACTGATACTCCTACATACATAGATATATACATATAATGAAATTCTATTCTACCGAGCTTACTTAGGCTTCTATGCGGAAACTACGTACATATATTGCAGGAAGCTTTAGCAACTTGGTCGGTGGCCAAGAGATTTTGATCTATGAAGCCCCCGATTATCTTTATACGCGGAACAATCATTATCGAGTTTCCGTTTGCAAGAGAATTTTATATATATATATATATATATATATATATATATATATATATGTATGTGTACATATATATATGCATCGTCTCTATAAAACTTTATTGATGTTATGTCTGCAAATACACATGAGCAAGTACGCGAATTCAGAGCTCGCAAGTATATCGTAAAAAATGAAGAAAACAGGCGCGAGAACGTTTCTATAAATTATCACGTCGTTTGAATAACATTGTTTACCATCTAATGTTTTTTACAATTCTTCAGCGAATGTAATTTCGTAATTGCAAGGAAAACACAGACGTTTCAACTAAATCTATGTGTCTTATTTTCTCCCCTTTTATAGTAAACACATACGGTAATCGCAATAGAATCCCTTTTCTCGCACGTCCCGTGAAATTTTATGGCAAACATTAATTTTATTGTAGCATCTTATATCAGCTCAGTAGACACGCCAGAATTTAATTATTCGAAATACTTCGCGAGTCATATGTGAAAGTCGATCGGATTTTTTAAATCTTTTTATAATAGTTAATTCTACACCGCGCGATCGATACTACGTCAACGTAAGAAACATCTTATTTAACACGTATTGAAATTATATTACATCACATGTATTTTATATCTTACTGTAAAAATCTTTTAGTACATGTAATCTCAGTAGAGATTATATAAATACCAATGTGTGTGTATAATATCAATATTACGTCCATTTTTAATGGATTTCTTTGCATCAGCTGGATTACGTGTGTTTGTTATTCCGCAAGCTAAGATTAACGCTTTATTCTCCTTACGCGACCAACAATTATTATTTTATAATTATTGAGATATTTATCTGGGTTGAATGAAGTTATTGGAGCGACACGAAGCATCGTAATAACATCGAGAGACAAATACTGGATTGACGGCCGACTGAATTGCGGAACCGAATAAAGAGATTTCCCTCTCGTTAACCCAGATAACGTTCGCCAGAAGGATTGCCGCTTGATGGGAAGGCTCGATTCGATCGAGAAGTGATCGGTGATACGATACTTAACTGAATTTATTCGAATGCTCAATCGATATGCAGACATTATTTGTACGTATGCGTATATGTGTGTATAAATAAGGATAAAAATTAACTTAATTTTCGAGTAGATGCAAGCCGCAATTCACCGCTAAAGTGAAGGTGCCGTCAAAATCCATCCGGCCTCTTGCGATAGACCGATGCGATCTAACAATACGCGTCATTACCGCGGCGTACGCATTTTGCAATACTTACGAGAGGATCACGATCATGCTCGCGTGTGCATAATGCGTTCCGTAATCAACGACGCAAAACCGCAATCCAGGCGTCGACCATTCTCGCGTCAAGACCATGTAAACATAGTGCTACTTTAATGCCGCAAAGGTGATCGCTTAGCCACCCTTTATAAAGTAGCTCACTGTATTATTACATATCCCGTGCATTATATCACGTGTACTTGAATTTAACGATTTTATTAACCGCTAGCAATTTTAACGAGCGCAGTTTCTAACAGAGAGTTGTACGGCATTATGGTTTTTCAAAAAGGACGATTGTTTAGTAATTTAAAATAATTGTGTAATTGAAATAATTTTTTTCATTACATTTAAATTTTAATATTATATATTACATAATTTTAATATAAAAATAATTTTAATATAAAATTTTAATATAAAATTTTAATATTATATATTACATCGTGTATATATATATATATATATATATATATATATATATATTAAGATTTAATAAAGATTGATATTCCATAAATATAAATAAAAAATATTAAAATATATATTATAAAAATCAATAATATATAAAAATGTTATAGATTGTTAACGGAAATAATTATTTAAGATATGTTTCAAAACAGATTAAGACTTTACTAATTTAGAATTGTTATTTTTTCTTCAGTACAACAATTGTCAATATTACACAAGTTACATTCAGCAGTAAGTCTATACCGAAACGAGCGATTATTCGCAAGATATCCATATAAGAAGAAACATAAAGATATGTAATTATGAATGTCGAAATCATCATAGAGATCGTCACTTTATACTTCATATAAAGACTTTTATATCTTATATTAAATCTAACAATGATGTTACTCATGAAGCTAGAATAGTCATTTACAATTGAGCACAATATAATTACTGCAGACAGAATATCAATTTATAATATCAATCAATACTTATTTATACATGAAAACAGATTATATTTTAATAACTGTTAATAAATTGAAATATGACTCTGTATCAAAATATAAATTAGTATTTATATATTCCACCCACACACAATTGTAAATGATTACCTGTTAATGTTATATAGTAGTCTAGGTATGTTTCAAAACAGATTAGATAGATTAGATAGGTATAATATATAGAAGTATTATACCTAAGTCTGTGGCTCCGTATTCCAAATAGAGCTATATTAGAAGCTTTGTAATGAATGGAAATATTATGAGATTATGTAACAATAAATAAATGTGCAAACTAGTTGCTTTTTACTAGATATTTGTAATAGTGATATAAAACTTTATAAGCGCGTTATAGTCTGAAATAAACTGTAATTTAATTTCAAATATGCACAACAGAAAGAAAGAGAGACAAAGAGAGAGAAAGAGAGAGAGAGAGAGAGAGAGAGAGAGAATAAATGTGACGATTTAATTTACACAGTTTACGTATATTTATGAAAATATGCAAATAGTATTATATATTTTTACATCTATATAATAAATTCGCGGATTTGAATTTTTTTGAATAATTCAGTGCGCACGAGTAAAGTTTGCGATGTCAAAGTATTAAGAATAAAAACGTTTTGCATAATTTTTTATAGTGGAATTAACGATCAGCAAAATAATAAGACGCGACGATCTTCTTTTTGTTTTCAGGAAATTCCAATTTCTGTATAGGTGACCATGACGCATGCATTAATTTTTATATAAATTTTAACCTTGAATCGTAAAAAAGTTCGGGGCCAAAATGTCAAGACCTGGAATGAAGTATCGGTCGAGTTCGCGGCTCTACCTTGCTGTGGAATTTTACGAATTTTTGACATTTTAGACTGGTTTTCTATAATTGCGTATCGGCCAAGTTAAATCAAACGAAAAAATCTTCTTATGAAAGTAGTCATTCCTCGTCATAATTAACAATTTTAGAAAACGAAGCAGGCAATAAACGAGTTTATGTTCATTTAGAAACATTTTCGGCAATAATTAGCTTTTATTCTTGGAATTGTAAACTTGAAAATATTGAAATGGAATTAAATAATAAACTTTCTGATGCTAGACTTTGCAAAATTAGCAAAATAAATTTAAATTAAAACATTTATGTAATATAATTCCAAATATTGTTTATCGATATATATATATATATATATATATATATATATATATATATATGCATGTGTTTTACAATTTTTTTAGAAAAATATTTCTTATTAAATTTAACTTTTTTAACAACATTTTTGTACAATATTCTCTCTATATATCGAGGAGAAGAAGTGTGTATAAAGTTGTAATGACAACGTCGTAATATCATTGAACAGTTTTTCCTTTATCCTGTTTCTTCTCTCTACTCGTTCTCCATGATCTACATTTTTTTATTTATAACTGTATACACAATAGTTTCTCGAAGTACGCGCGTTTTTATCTTTGTTAAAATGTATAAAAGTATTTAAATGACTAACATTTTGTGAATATTATTATTTTAGATACGCGATATTTCAGATATGTTTCATGCAAAAAATAGGGAAAAAACTGCGTCAATATTTTTTTAATTAATATCCTTGATGTTATCAAGTACTTTACAATTATGTATTCACCTGCACTATACGAACTTTAATGCACTGTTCAGCCGTAAAACGATACTTGTGTTTTTTTGCTTCTACATCGCACACCTTCGTATGACGTGTTGAATGTTGAAATATGAATGCAAAATGTGGCGCAGCTTTTTCAACCATAAAAATGTGACGCGATTTGCAAGCATGATATATGAAACGTATGCTTTTCGCGTTTTCATTTTGCTCGAATGATCTTCAATAGAGCCGTCTGTATTGGCTGCGATCGATCTCGACGTTTGTAAGAAATGTGCTATTGCGAAAGTACACATAGTACACGTAGATTAAAAACTGATTATTAAAAGGCTGCTTTTACGCCTGCATTTCCGCTTCTGAACGGGCGTGTACGGCGGATTTTGCGCAAGACGTGGCGTAAAAGATGACGCAGAAACTTTCTGCTTATCCGACTTAAGAGAACGGCGATTTATTAGATTTTTCAATACTCACCCCAAGATTCCGCCGGCCTCGGGGCTTCTGTAAAAATCGCATCTGTGCAGCGGTCTTCTTGGATTGTCAGGGTATCTCTGTCCCGCAGCTTGGCAGAGAGCACGATACAGTTGGAATTGAAGGACGCCAGCCACGAAATTCCTGTAAAATATGAGAGAAAGCTAATTAGCTTATATCATGCCTCTTACTCTCGAAATATTTAATAAGCGTTGGATCAACCATATGTGGAAAGAAATATTACAGTGTAGAGGTAATTTCGAAAAATGAAATGCATCCATAATGCAAAAATTTAGCGGTCATTTATTAAACCGATAAGCTTGTTGCATCTGACAGTTTATTTAGCCAATTAATTTTAAAATACATAATTTCGAAGCATTAACGCGTTAAATAATACACTAATAAAATAAGAGAAAATATAGCAAAAAATATCCATAAAAATCAAATTTGCAATTTTGATAACAATTATATAATTTATAAATTTATAAATTTATATAAATTTATAAATTTATATAAATTTATAAGACTTGAATTTTTTGTTATTTGTAAAGAGCATAATTACTTCTAATATAATTCAGTTATATTTTTTTATTAAATTCGTAATAGCTCTAGATTTAACGCAGAATAATTTTAAAAGTAGTTGATGTATCTAGGTCACATTTAAAATGTCAATTTTCGTGAGTCTTGACGAGCCACCTGCAAGGCTAATGTTAACAGGGTCAGTGAAGTTACGGAGAATCTCGATCTTTATGGGATAAAAAACATGATGGAAGATAAAATCTCTCACTTTTTTCGCGTAGAATAATATTAGCGTCAGGTGGCTAGAAAGAGAGAACGCTCGGCAATATACAGGTAAGTATGTTGCTGTTTCACTGAGTGAGACTCTTCGACAACGACCTTTACGTAATATCATCCAGGCGATCCTCCCGGAAATCATGGTATTACGCTTGGTCTCCCGACACTTCTACTTTCCACGGACGGTCTCCTCGCGCGGACCAGTCGTTTGAAAATATATACGAAAGTGTCGTAACACGCATGACATCTGAATATATATTACGACTTGCGTTACTAGCGAGCATTAGTCATGAGATCATCGACGAAATTAATAAAATCCACGATTTCCCAATTTAAACACGTTTCAAGAAAGAATCTAAAAGTACGCAAGCCATCCCGGATTCATCACTGTAGCAGTTTTATAATCGATTTTATAGCCGACATATAAATAGCTATATTAATTATAATACTTCTGATAGTAATTATTATTACGCGTTAATTGAGGAATCTCACAAAACATCATTCCAAAATTATAAATAGGTTTTTGTAAAAAACTGAATTCAAGATACGGATAATCTGACGAGGGATTGGAACATAAAATTTAACATCAATTTTTGTCGCATTGCGAAATTTGACATAGTAAAATAATTATCTGATTTCGCAATTACAAGCGTTTTTGCTGGCAAATATTATCGATTAACCTTTCTTGCTTTTAACGGGTGGACGAACGCATCCAAATGACGTAGTAGGAGAGTGAAATCAAGTTGTCATATTGGTATTCAAGGGGAAATAATCATATCGCGAGAAAACGGTTGAATCAGGTTATACGGTTGAATAGAGTCGAGGTGAGACCTTCGCCTTGAATGACAGATATTGTGATAGCTCCGACTATTTTGATGTACTTTTTCAGTTAGAAAGGGAAGACAATAGCTTATAAGTAAAGATTTTATTAAAAATGATTGTTAAATCATTCATTAATATCATAAAGTATTATTCATATCATAAAGTACAAACAAATACGAGTTTGAAGTTTAAATAAAATTTGATGAAAAATTAAGGGAAAAAAGATAGATATGCGAAAAGATAATTTTTATTACATTTTTATACCTAGTGACTCCCTTATATATATATATAATTATGCTTTATATTATCATTTATATATTATTTATATATTTTATATTTTTTATTAAATCTTATAATATTTTATATATATTTTTTTAATACCTTAATTAAATATATAGATTCCATTAATTTTTCTACATTTTAGATACGCAAGTTATTTAACTCTCTCTCATCATTGATTTTTTCTATTGATATCAATTTATAATTTCTAATTATTAATTATCAATCATGCTTTTATGTCAAATTATTAAATATATTTCCGAACATGAAAATTTTTTATTTTCATTTAATTCAGCTTTCAAAAACTATTTTGTCATTATTATATAAATTAAAACGAACAATTATATCTTTCGATTAAAGTAATAATTGTTTTTCTTTTTCTTTTTATCTCGTATTGCGAAACATAATGGTGTACTTTCGCCCATAAAAAACAAATTGTGCATGCTGTGGATTTCTGCGAATACAATTCTTTCTCTAATATATATTTGCTGAGTAAAGTGATATAATACTAGACAGCACCGTCACGTAGGTGATCATGTTCCATATATAATGCGATGGTAAACATCGACATACTTGGCCACATGGGAGCGGAGGTGGAAAGCGGTACTTTACCGACTCTAGAGCGAGATTGTGATGTGGGACCGCATGTCCCTCGAAACGGAGCAATGCTACACCCACGAGATCGACGAGAGATAAATTCTAATGGCGTTGTCTTGCGCTGTCTGTGATGTATAGTATGTGTACGTACATATATATATCCATTACGTGGCACAGGAGACGTTGGTTGGAGGTGAGGACGAAAACGGAACAGTAACAGCGAAAGGGAGAGGATAGATGATGACGTTGATCGCGCGCGATTCGCGTGACCGTTGCAGTCGATTGCTACGAAAAATAATGTATTAAAGCTGAAACATGTTACACGTTGCGTCATGATCGGGCGGACTATACAATAGTTTTTAGTCAGGGAAAAATAGAAAACGAAAGGAATTTTAATTTTCGAATTTAATTTTCTAAGTTAATCTTAAGTTTTTTGTAATCATTTGCCTAGTCTGTATAATTTAAAATCTCTTTCTAAAAAATCTTTATTTCTTTTTACATTATCAAAGCGGGTTTCTTGGCTTTTCTAGTTCCAATTCTACAATTAATTAAACATTTTTTATTTCGAGAATTGTGAATAACAATATACAATAAATCAAAATTATTTAGCATCTGAGAAATTATATTTCACGAAAATTTAAAATTAAGGGGAAGCTACGTTTCTGCTAAGATGGAAAGTGAAAAATTTATAATTTAAGGACATGGAGAAGGTAATGTTAGAATATGCATTGAATGTTGAAATATGCATTCTTGTAAGAGAACACAAAATTGTAGGGAAAGGTAAGAGAAATTGGTGTAATTTACTGATGGAGAAACTAGATTGACATGTCAATGTTCTACCTAGATGCATATACACGCATAAACATGACATATAATTTATTATAGATTAGTATTAGAAAAAAAGTGTCGTTATTGAAATTTAATGAAAATATATAATTCTGTGAAAATATATAGTTCTGTAATATGTAATAATTCCCGGAATTGACGATGCGTGTAATGTATGTTAAAATATCAAATTTCATAAGACACTTCTTCGATTGCATTTCAACGATTGCATTTCAACGATTGCAAGTCAATTCGATTGCAAGTCAATCCCTCTGTAGGTAGGGTTTTCCCGACTTCCGTTGGCGAAGCATTTCTACTTCTTCAAGGAAATACCTGCGGGACGTGCAGTAAAAGTTTAAACACATTTTAACTACATTTCGAATAACGGAGTAATGGCGAACAATGATGTTTGCGAAATGTCGTCAGAGAGCACACATTCGACAGAACACTAAAAATTTAACTTTCAATAATTTCGTAAAATTTCATTTAACTTGCATATTAAGTTATAAATCTTTCCCGAGGTGGGGAACTGACACGCGCCGAATAGCACGGTGACAGCCGACAACAGTCACCGCGAGTGATATATGTCACGTTTTAATCGCACTATTACTAACGATATCCGCATCGGCTGACAGATTTGCCGGCAGGCGAATCTGTCCGATGCAAACTCTCGTGAGACGTTACGTACGAAGAGGCAGGTTTTTTTAACATACTGTCAATCTAAGTTCACCTAAACTGGAAAGGCACGCGGATACGATCGATGTCTCGTCGACGGCTTCCGATACTAATATAAGGAACGTTACGATGGCCAATCGGTATGTCATCGTTTCTCAGAGAAAGTATCATATAAAACTAAAGCGCAGTCGAGATACCTGCAAAGACATGTGAGAAAAAAAATCAGGCATCGCGAGCACAAGCATTTGATGAAGAGGAAAGAAAACGAGATCCGTTTGTTGAAAAAAGAGAGTTTGTTTTTCACGACGCGCGTAGCCGCACGTGCGTACGTGCGTATGTAAGTATAGGGAAGTTGAAGAGGGGGAGTAAGGTGTCTGTCCCAAAGGGGAGTGGTGGTCGCTCGCACGGTAGGACTGTCATCGTCATAGTTGAACAAAGAGGTATAACGTGGGGGTACATGACTTGGGGCCCCGGACCCGACGGGCCCCGGGTGGCGAAGGCGAAAGTGTGCTGCGTATATAAGGCCAAGAACCGACGGCAATCAGCATCCAGTTCACTCCTGGACGCACCCGGAACATCGCGAGAGCAAAAATGAGAATCCTGGTACGTCCTCCATCGTAACTGATTCGTTTGCAACTTTTCGTCCTAGTGTTGCATTATCGGAAAGCGAGAAACGTCGGTGAATCGTGTATCGAGGAGGCTCAGATAGATAATAATATCTACGACAAGTGAAAATAACCGGGGTTGTGGATCGTTCAAGAGAGATTAAACACGTGCATAAATTCGGCTCGTAAATCATGCATTAAAGAATCCCGATTATGAGAACAAGTTGTACGCGGAGTGTATTTCTAACGAGCATTCCGCATAGTAATATCGGATAATTACGCAATTTGAATAGTTTTACTTTATCGCAGAATGAACGATCGTATCTATTGCGCTTTCTTGATCACGACATTTTGATTCTGAATTTTTGCTAAAATTCTAAAGAATTTTTATTACATCGTGTAGTGATATATGTGTATTTAATCTTAAATTAGAATAGATTTTTAAACATAAACAAAATTAATACATCTCGCTACAAATCTTTACGTATCGGGTTGATATCAGAGAGTAATATATATATATATATATATATATATATATATATATATATATATATATATATGGTAATATAGCAATTGAGATATCACTTAATCAAAATATAATGCATATTTTCTAGATTTGCGTGGCAGTTGCCGCCCTCGTGGTCACGACAGTATTGTCGGAGGAGACCGCGAAAGTCGAGAAGTCAGTGGAAGCGAAGTCCGTAGGCGAGAAGAAGCAAGAGAAGCGCGGGCTGTTAGGTCTTGGTTATGGTTACAGCTATGATGGTGGATACGATATTGGATCTGGTGGACACATCGGCCTCGATATAGGCGGTGGACATGGTGGATACGGCGGTGGATATGGTGGATACAGCGGTGGATATATCAGCGGAGGATATGGCGGTGGATACGGCGGTGGATACAGCGGTGGATACGGCGGTGGATATGGTCACGATCACGTAAAGACCGTGACTGTAGTGAAGAACGTCGCCGTGCCATATCCCGTAGAGAAACATGTACCCTATCCGGTAGAGAAGCCCGTACCGGTCCCCGTCAAAGTGCCCGTACCGCAACCGTACCCAGTCGAGAAACACGTGCCTTATCCCGTCAAGGTCTTCGTGAAGGTGCCCGTTCACATACCCCAGCCGTATCCGGTAGAGAAGAAGGTTCCCTACCCAGTTCATGTACCGGTCGATCGTCCTGTCCCGGTCAAGGTTTTGGTACCGCAGCCTTATCCCGTAGAGAAACACATTCATGTCCCGGTAAAAGTACCAGTACCGCAGCCGTATCCCGTCGAGAAACAAATCCCGGTACCAGTGAAAGTTCCGGTTCACATACCTCAACCTTACCCGGTCGAGAAGCTCGTACCTTATCCAGTCAAAGTCCCAGTCGATCGTCCCGTTCACATCCCAGTTTTCAAGCCTTACCCCGTGCACATCGAAAAGCATGTGCCTTATCCAGTCGAAAAGCCAGTACCTTACCCCGTGAAGGTCCCAGTTGACAGGCCGTACCCCGTCCCGGTCGAGAAACCCGTGCCAGTCGCTGTTAAGGTGCCAGTACCGCATCCGTATCCAGTCGAAAAACCAGTGCCTTATCCGGTCGAGAGACCTGTGCCGGTAGCAGTCAAGGTCCCGGTCGACAGACCGTATCCCGTTCATGTCGAGAAGCACGTACCTTATCCGGTAGAGAAGCCCGTGCCTTACCCGGTTAAAGTGCCGGTAGCTGTACCGGTGCACCACGAACACCACGGACACCACGGACACGAGGGCTACATCTCCGGTGGATACGAGGGTGGCGATATAAGCTACGGTGGCTACGGTGGATACGGTCATCACTAATGTCACAATTCCCGGTTGGTCATCTGTCGTCGTTGCACAAGAAACTCTCCACCGCGCACGATGACGGATAACCGCGAGGATCTTGTCTTAGAATATGAAGAACCGATTCGAAACGTTGCCGTGCGGCGCAGCGAAATCCGCCACTTTGTACCTGGATCGGATCGGAGACGATCTCCGGTAGACGATCGCGTACTCCGATTCCCATGATAATCGCAACGAAAGCGCGGCACGGCAACGTGTGCCAGTTAGAAAGAACGAATGATTAATAGGAATGTACTCTTTAGCGATCTTCGCTCGAGAGCTCGCTTGTCTTACTTTTGTACCGATAATAGCAAAATATGTATTTTTTTACAGAAAATCAAATAAATATTATTGTAAAGTAGTTATATATAAGACTATATAACTTCTGTAACTGATTTATTTATTTACCCTAATTCCCATATAATATCCTTTTTTTAAAAAAGATTAGTAAAGATGTTAAAAGAAATAAAAAATTCATGAAAATGAACATGTCCAAAATGTGTTCAATGATTGCTAAATTTATGACTATCAAATAGAAAAATGATAAAACATATTCTAATGCTACAAGAAAGCATAGTATATAAAGTAATATATCATATAGATATAATAAGAGAAGTTTTTAAATAAAAAATATTACAAAATTAGCAAAAGCAACAGTGAGAAAATAAGTGTGACTTAATATATATTTTATATAAATAATATTAAATAATATATAAAATGATGTTTAATGAATATATATATTAAAACATTCTTTTATACTGAAAAAAAAATATATATATATATATATATTTTATACTAAAAATTTGCGACAAATCAGAAAAAGCTTTACACATTGTTGAGAAACTAATATCAATTCTTTTTAAATTATCTTAAGTTATATTCTTCTATAACGATTCTATATTCGTCGATAAATGTCTTTGTATTCTATTAATAATATGAAATTGCAGGTTAAATATTTAAATCAACAATTCAGTTTCCGCCGTCAATTCCGCGATATTATCAAATTAATATAATCTAATTATACTTATATCATTATTATTTCCTTACAATTTTAATTTTTAATAGATATAATCGAAAATTATTTAGAAATGATCTATTTAAAAATGATAAATTTTTCTAATATTTATAAAAATGATATTTTATCAAAGATCTATCCTTTTTTTAAAAATATGTATGACGATTTATTTCTTCCATTATAATATATAATATTTTTCTCAAATTTCTTACTTTTCCACATCTCTTAAAATTCTTTATATTATTAAGCACCTAAATTTTCTTACGTAAATTATTAGCAATTAAATTGTGTATGTATGTATGTATGTACACATGTATACGCGTATAAATGCAAGAAAATTAAGTATTGATCCGTGCATCATGAAATTCTGAAGCAAACATATATTGATGTAATATGATACATTCAATATACATGTAATTAAGTTTATTACTTTGACCTTCATTATCCTATATTTACATTCCCTCAGGAAACATCAAAATTTGATTAAATTCCCATAGTGATCTTCATAGAAAAGTTATGTAATTTAATCCATACCAAATACATTAATTAAATTAATATAACGAAGCTAACAATAAGTAGGTAAGAGTTCTCACAAAGTTAGCGTTCAACGGAAATTTATGATATAATAAGATAAAGTAAGATGTTACACACGTGTGTATGCAAATTTCCACGATTTTAATTAATATCGATTACATGATCTTTTGGATGAAATTTTCGTATTTTCTCAATGTCGAAAATATTACAAAGTATAGGTTAAATATGTACGAATAAATGATAGAAACAACTAACAAATTTATATTTACTTAATTATTATATTTGTTTATATATATTTATATTATGTATTTGTATCTCATTTTGGAAAGAAAAAGAAAGACGAAGATTTTATATAGAAATTTATATAGAAATTTGAGAAAAACTTTCTGTGGCTTGCATGATGCAAAAGAAGCAATGGATCTTCATATCGTTACATCGATTTATGCTAAACTGTCTTGGGGGTTGCAATAAGATAAAAAATTCGCGCGCGAAATTGAGCTTTGATCAACTTCATTATTCCGTTGTTCGTGATTCAGTTTTGTCGGGGGTCCCCTGATATCTGCAGAGGTAAAGTGCATCCGCGACTAATTTCTTGCACGACCCACTTCGGCCGAAGCGGCTTTGCCACTTGACTCACGAACGGCGACTTACGTGCTCGTCCGGATCACGGGAACGATTATGCAATCGTGCCATTAGCGCACGCGACGTCGAGGCTGAAAGTAAGAGTCTCCCCTTCGCCTCGCCGAGAAAGATCGTGCTGCCGTAAAATCCACTTCCCCTTTCGTCCGTTTTCCACAGACCCGGAGCGGGTCTGTCCTTTCGCTTCCTTTATTTATCCCGCCGCACCTCTTCGCCTTGACTCGCGAAACTATTCCTTTTAAGACAATTACGCGGAACGAACACGATGTTTTGCATCCTCCGTTAAAAAATATTGCACTATAAAGATCTTAAGATCACGAACATCAGAGCGTAACGTGGGAAGGCTGATAGTTACTAAAATGTCATAGCTTCGATAGATTTTCAATTATTCGAGATTGAAAAATCTTGCTTTTTTGGAGATAAATTATGGAACATCTCTCTCTCTTTTAATTTTAATAGATATTTAACTTGACATTTAATTAATGATAGAAAATTAGATTGTTAATTCTGTTATGAATATTATGATATTTAAGATTGAAGAAAATAAGTCAAATTTCATTTAATTATATCTAAATATATTCAATAAGAAATTATGAAATTTAATTTATTATTTTAAATTAGAAATTTTGCTTTTTTAATAGTATCACGTATCATTTTAATGAAACTAATAATTTTTGCGATTGTCGACATTATGTTTATCCATTCATATATTTAATAATTTTGTTATGAAATCTTCTATTACTTAATTGCATTGGTGAGAGGAGCAAATTAGTTATTTGATATTTAATATAATATTCACTTTAATTTTTAAGCGAGTTGTCAATGCATATTTACAGTGTTAAATGATACAATTAGAAATGAAGAAAGTTTTTAATTAGAATAAGGAAAATTTATATATACATGTATAATTGAAATATAATATATATCTAATAGTCTCTCTTAACAAATAAATATCAATACCTAATTTAAATTTTTTTAAGAGTATATCTTATTATTATAAGGGGGTATTTTTATATTATCTAGTAATTGAATTAATTATCTAGTAATTTAATTAATTATCTAGTAATTGAATTTATATTATCTAGTAATTGATTCGAAAGGATTATTTAGAAAGAAAACGTAACTTTGTTTTTTGAAAAGGAAAAGAAACGGTACTTTTCTCAATTATTTTCAACGACAGTAACCGGTAAGATAGTTTGATACTTTTACATTTGCTGCTATAATAAAGATGTTCTAGCAAAGGATATTCTGTCTAAATGAAACAATTTCATTAAGTTACTAAATATTACAATATCTTCGATTATATTTTCTCCGAGCATTTTATGAGATCAATTTTTTAAAAATAAGCTAATGATTATAAATACATTGCTTATTAATAGTAAAAATTAATATCAAAAAATATAATATTTTTATTCATTATTATAATCCTGAAATTTACCATATGCACTCATTGAAATATGATTCATTAAAATATTTTTAATTTATTAAAATATTTTAATATCTATACATTTCTATCACCTTGTGATTCTATCATCTGTTGATATATAATTTAAATTATTGCAGTTTGTAAAATTCACCTAAGGTATATATCGTGAGAGAAACACTCTCTATCAACCGTAGTTACTGCAGATCGTTATTATTTAAGCAGCAATCTATGTTCAAAATTAATAGACATTAAATTGCATTGTGTGAACGCATGATAAGTGAAAGTAATGACGCAAACGCATCCACTTTGCGCTCTTGGTGATTATGCATTTGATATTTGCAGAGGGGTAATTTATTGCAATTGCTATCGTGAATGATAATTTGCTGTAATTTTAAGCCTAGAATATATAAAGTAGGACTCTATCAGAGAGCACAATTTAAAATACATCAATATTGCTTGCAAGATACCGCATATCTTTCTTTTAAATTGAGAAATTCTTTTAAATGAATTTGAAAAAAATTTAACTTTATGAAAAACATGCAACATATATTGTTATATATAGATTTATAATATAATCATGAATGATTGCATTTTACTAATTTTTACTCATTGGTTGTTATTATTGTACATTATTTTGATTATTGATTGTTATTATTGTACATTGTTATTATTGTTATTATTGTAGATTGTTTTGATTATTGAATATAATGTGTTTTTTATTTTTGCGATATAAAAATTATATACATTTATAATTGGTCATTATATACGTGGAGTCGTGTTAGTATCCGAGAACTAAGCAGGTCGCAGCGACATAATTAGAAGATTAAATAACAGATACAATCTTTCAAAATAGTGTCGCTTCCTATTACTAGACACATCGTCTTTCCTATCTTATGTGCGCAGAAAGCATGTATATCAACATAGCGATTTCGAGAGAGTGAAGGTAAAACCTATATATTAAAGATGTAAGAAAGTTTATGAGCATAAAAAACACATAAATTTCGTTATTATTAAGATGACATTAATTGTGAAAACAAGTTTATGAACGAAGTCTATTAGTATTAATCTACAGATATCGAGCTTATTAATACGTTTAAACATTTGATTCACAAATCTTCCTCTCATTTTTGAAAATAAATTGCTAACTTGCTAGTGGTGTTTATAAGCATAAATTTACATAGGTTTAAGAATTTAATCATAGTATATCAAACAATTATAATTAAAGAGGTATATTGAAAAAAGTTACGCGTAATTAATTACGCAAGACTAATTTTTTAATTAGCCAGCCATCGCATGTTTGAAAAATTATTATTATTATCGTAGCATTTGCTGTGTAATTTAAAATTTATATTCTAAATAGATATTTCTATTTATTTTTATTTATTTAATAAATTATGCACAGAGAATGTACCATCTCCTCATGTTTATCGCTCAATAAATCTCCCATTTATGTCATAATCTAGATATCCGGAAGCGTGAAGCAGCTTCAAAGCGTATCGCTCGCGCTTCCGCTCTCGACTTCCTCCTTCAACATACGTACAACGAATTCCCGTGAATATTCATTTAAAAGAACCTTAATACCATCGTCACTGCAAGAAACCAACTGCATTCTCGCATTACAATGTTAACAAGTCATTTATTAGTGCAGCTTTTTTCACATCACGTTGCGTTTCTCTGCAGTCTATGCATCTTCGAAGACTCGTCCTATCAAACGATAAACTCTCTCCATGTTCGCGATCTATCTTGAAAAGGCACGAATCATTTTTTCTCTGAGTAACGACGTCTAGATTGTACAGCTAATTACAGCCATGTGGTTGCTGTCGAGCGTTAAATATTTGACATGCAAACACATTGAAAAATAATAATGAAAATCAGTGATCCACGATTAGGATCGCGTGCAGATCGCAAAATTCATGCAAAAGGATGTGAAGCAATGCGATCATTATTTTCTCCTTGAGATGGTGAAAAAATTGGAAAATTTGTCTTACATTTATAAAATCGCACATTTCAAAATACATTTAAAATGTAAATACATTTAAATGCTTCACAACATATCATTATTGCTCCTTTAATATCTTTCATGAAAACATTTGATTTACGATATCATCTTGAATGAATCCAGATAAGAGATCGTCCTAAATAATATGTCTACTTTTACTACAATGGCGTGGCTTAAGAATCCAATAAGCAAATTAATAATAAACAACAATTAATAAATGGTTTGTAATTTAATTAATGCCAATATTATGTATAAACTTTTTTTTATTATTCTTAAGTGTTAAAAAATTAAATATTAATTCGTAATTATATAACTCAATATCGATGAAAATGTTTATGTAATTTAAAATTAATTAATGCACGTTCATTGTAATGCTAATTGCACGTGCATTGTAATGCGTTTACTTTGCTATCTGAATTATCTCTAATAATTAATCTCTGCGAAGTAATATGTAATCATGATTTATGGCAAAATGTCAAGCGGTCATTTTTTAACGATAGCTGTAACTGGTTTTCCCATACAAGTTTCCGCATCGATATGAAAAGGTCTTTGACATTTTTCTCTTTCTGTTCAGGACGTTATCTTGGCGAAGCAGCGATGCGTAACTGCAAATTCTAGTTTACTGGATTTAGGTTTATTTCCAAGTGACCGATTATGTTTCCGGTAATAGGCTCCGCCATGCGTTATAGTAAGAGTATTATATGGACTTTAGCGATAAAAATAAAGATAATTGAAATATGAGTAAAAAGTAATCGAGCTATTCTTATTAAATTTTCAGAAAATTGCTTCTATGACATTCGACGATTTCACAAAAATTTTCTCTGTGAGTCTTATTTTTATATTTTGTTGTTATTATTTTGATTTCTTTTTAAATAGTAATAATTTTCTATTATTTCTATTATTTTACACAACAATGTTTACTATTGTTTCAAGATCATGATTAAGAGAATCGATCCGAGAGAATGTCAAGATTCTATAAAAGAAGTGAACGATTTTTATTACCTTGAAACAATAAATATTACTCCCTTCACAAGTAAATCTATTAAAATCAGCGCATGCTAGTGTTTTCCCATTTTTACTGTTTCAGAAAAGACAATTTCACTCACGCGAGTAATAACGCGAAAGTGATTATCCCCTCTTGAAGAAGATATTGCGTGCGTCTCTAGATTAATAACTACAACGTATTCGTAGCAACCATATATATAAGATGGTAAAAGTATACAACTGATCTATTTACTCTTTACTCGAGCAAGGAGATTGAAGATTTTTTCCAAGAGATTGTTCTATTATCTTGTTCAGGATGAGACATACAGTATGTTCTTATACCATTGGAAACATTAGTTTTTTGTGAATAAGTGTTGAAATTATGTCACATTGTGCAGAATTTTTTTTTCAAATAGTGTTTGTGTGTCAAATTCTTTTTAAAATAAAATCATAATGTGTTGTTAAAGTGTGATAGAAATTCTTTCATAAATCTATTTTATTCTTTTTATGATATTGTTTTTGTGATGTATTAAAATAACAGAATTTGCTATTTTATTAAAAAGAGCATATGTCAGGAAAAAAAGCTTTTTAAAATTAAATGAAAATGTTTGTTTCTATCAATTTTTTTTATTTTACAAACATTTTATTAATAAAGTAGATGTTTTGATTACAATTTAATTTTGTCTTTTCAAACTTGATACAATAATTTCTTTGAAAAAAATATTTTTTTTTATTTACGTAAATGAGATCCATATCTTCTCTTTTTTTTAAAAATAAATATATCAATTTGATTTATATTTTATTTAAATAATTAACATAAAATATATTTTAGAAAAATATTATTTTTATTTTTACGCAAATGAAATTTTTTTACTCTTAGAAAAAGAAATAGGATGTAAGTTATAAAAATATTTTTAAATAGTTTTATTTATTCTGCACCAAAACATGCAATAGATGACATTATATGGGTTTTGCTAGTTGCAGGAATATGGGATACTTTTATTATCACTCTTTGTGGCTATGGTGTCAACTTTTCCATTTCATGACAACCTTAATAAATACGTATATAAGTACGATCATCTTCCTAAAGCACAACAAAAGTATCAAATTATGCCTTATCACATAAGGCATAATAGAATTAATATTGCAGAAGGAAACATTCATACAAACGATATACATAAGATCAAACTAGATCAGTCAAAAGATAATGAACGTAAGTATTCTAATACGCGTTTTTGATAAAGTTAATAATGTAAGAACTGATATATTTGTTTATTTACATTACATATCTTTTAGATGTGATTTAATATTTAGTAATTAAATTTCGATACACATAAAGATGATAAATACAGAATATTAAAAAAAGTGAAAAAGTTTTAATGTATTTATAAAATATTATTATTATAATTATCTTATAATTTTTTTATTGAATTTATTCAATATCTTGATAAATGGCATAATTAATTTTAAAGAAAACTATTAAATACAATTTATAAAAAAGGTTAATTTCAGTTTCAGAATCTCATATTGTATATTTTGAAAATGGACCTAAAAATGAGTATGAATTGCCAAACAATTATGGTCATGAATCGAATGGTGGAGGAGATGAACAAAATATACACAATAATAAAGCACTAGATCATCATGTACACGAGAAGCATAAAACCATAACGATTATAAAGAAAATCGCAGTGCCGTACCCCGTAGAAAAAACTATCCGATATCCCGTGATTAAGAAAATATCGTATCCAGTTAAAGTGCCTGTCCCGCAGCCGTACGCGATTGAAAAAAAAATACTTTATCCCGTAAAGGTCCTCGTTAAAGTTCCCGTTAAAATTCCGCAACCAGTACCGGTCATCAAAAAGATTCCGTATCCGATTAAGGTACCAGTAGATCATCCCGTCCCAGTTAAGATATATGTACCAAAACCATATCCCATCGAGAAGAAAATACATTATGAAGTAAAGATTCCGGTACCAGATCCATTTCCCATAGAACGGAAGATACCAGTACCGGTGAAGATACCGGTACATGTACCTCAACCGTATCCAGTCGAGAAAGTCGTTCATTATCCTGTGAAAATCGCGGTGGATAAACCGATACCGGTTCGAGTACCAAAGCCATATCCGGTCCCGATCGTGAAGCCAGTTCCGTATCCTGTTGAGAAACCGATTCCTGTACCAGTCAAAGTTCATGTAGAAAGGCCGATACCAGTCACGGTGGACAAGCCAGTGTTGGTCAAGGTAAATGTTCCCGTACCAGCACCATATCCGGTCGAAAAAGAAGTACCATATTTTGTAGACAAATTCGTACCAGTACCGGTGAAGATACCAGTGCACAGGCCTATACCGATTGACGTAAACAAAGTGGTTCATCACATCGAAAGACCTATTCCTTATCCGGTTAATATACCAGTCGAGGTGCCAATAAATGAACAGGTAGAGCACAGAAATTATACATGAAATACTAAACTTAAAGAATGTAGTCATTCTTGAAAATAAATTAAATAGATGTCAATAGAAGATTTCAATAGAAGATGTTAATAGAATTATAGCTGCTAGAGGCTTTGTTGATTAATTAATTAATTTTCATCAAATCCTGAATATATAATTTTGAAGATTGAGGATATATAACTGCCAAATTTTTAATACAAAATGTAGAACTATATAAAATATACATAATATAGAACCAGAATATAGAAGTCAGTATTTATTATTGATTTCTTGAAAAGAAATTTATTTACTTTATACGGATTTTTCTTTACTTGAATGTATGTGTATATAACTACATAAGATAATAAAATTATCTTATACATTATCTTTTAAAATATTATTTTCCGTATTGTTGTTATAATACATTTTATTTATATAGTTACTAATGGAATTATTCTGATTATACATATTTATACATATTTTTTCCAAATATTGTAAACTATGAAAATAAATGATTGTTGTTGAAAATATTATAAAATATTATGTAATATTATTCTTTTAAGGAAATGTAATTACTATATAGATTCTAGATGCTATAGTATAATATTCCAGATGCAAAATGATTCAGTTAAAAAAAATTTAATGTAATTAAATTAATGTTTTTTTTATCGCTGTCACTATTATAAAACAGTTTTATAACATATTATTATAAACAATTAACTCATAAAAATGAAGGTAATTAAAAATAGGAACTGGTACTAAAATCTAATTGAATCAATATATATTAAATTAAATTAATTAATAATATATAGATAATTAACTTCTTAAGATATTTGTTTAATCATTAAAGCTTTCCCAAGTCAATCATTAAAGTCTCTTCTTGTCATCGGTTTAATTCCAGTCACTTTCACCGCGTAATTATAGCGAGACGAGGATCGATGGAATGTAATTGATTTCTGCAAAACAACAGTCTTTCGACATTGACCCTGAATCTGATTACGGAATGTTCCGCATTACCATAAGATTTCATATAATGTAAGTATATATATATATATATATATATATATATATAATTAAAATTTATATATATATAAATATATATAATATATATAATTAAAATTTATAAAATCATGAATTGATCTAATTCTTTAGTAAGATATTAATAATTAATAACACTTTTTTTCCTATTTTATAAATTATAAATATAAAAGGCATATCGCGTATAAATTATAATATAAATATGAAAATATGTAATATCTGATCTGAAATTAGTACTTCGTAAAAATATACCAAATATATGCGCATGTATTATAAATAATACAACTTTCTTTTTAATTCGTAATAATCTCAAAGTAAAGAAGTTATGATAATACATAGATTGCTTAGATTTATAATACAAACTAGTTACGAATCTAACCTTTCGTACGAGAGGTATTCGTACTAGTACGAATCTAAACTTTCAAGAATTATAAGTATATATGACATATGTTATATGTTTACTAAAAAAAAAGTACCGTTTTTTTCCTTAAAATTTTAATTATTTAAATACTAGATGTAAATTTTTATAATCGATTATATATAATTTTTTATACTTTTAACTTAATTTCGAAATACATTTATATTCATAAATCCGTATATATACTTTACAATTTTTTGTAAAACAGGTGTGGAATAGAATCCAGTTAATGTACTTATACGTGAAACAATTATAAACATATCGCTCTTATATCATATCATGATTTTCTTTATAGCGACTGTAAAATTTACGAAATAAATGATTATATAGTTCATGTAATAAGTATCCAAAGCGACTCGTGTTACGATTTCACTTATATTAGGTTCTTCCGTGTTGCAAAGATAGGATAGGCGTAATTTATGTATATAATATTCGAGATATTGTAATTATATATCAAGATTATGATGAGTAAATAAGCGACACGCCTTTTTACTATATTGTTAATATAGAAAAAATGAAAGCAATAAGATAAAGCGCTTAGCTGAAGCTGTCATTGTCCGAATGACGAAAGTATTTTTTTTCTTCGATTATACCTCCGGGAAGTATCAGAGAAGAAAGTTTCGAGAAGCGTATAAGTTAAGTGGTGTACAACCGCTGCCAAAGCGGGAAAGTTTTGTGCACCTACGAGAAGGTAAGATATGTGGAGAGCGCATTTACACCGGTTTCGGTTTCACTAGTGTTACTGATCCGAGAAATTTGATCGAATTATTCAATTTGTTACAAAAGAAAGTGTCGAGCGATACATATGCGATACATTGTTTGTAACAGAAAAGACCTATGCACATTTCCTATACATATCAGTGCGTTAATACAAATGTTCTACGGGTTATCTAACCACTTGACTATAAGTGATTATTTAATATATAGAGTATGAAAGACTTAATACATAAATTGTTTATCTAATTTATTAATTTTTCTAATTTTAAATATGATGAATTATAATATTTTTCTAATTTTATTTCTTTCTTATAAATTTATTTATTTATTTTTATCACTATTCACATATCACTTGCAGAATTTTATGTATCGAGATTTAGCGAAAGATTAGGAAAACTATTATCGAAAATTTAATCGATAAAAAAAGAAAAAATTAATAAATTAGTATTTGTTAAAAAATATGATCGAATGATCTGGAAAGATAAAACTCCGTATATACAAAGATTAGTTAGTTTTATGATTCAATAATATAGAAAGTACTCTATTCATAAATCAATCGCTTTCATAAATCAATCGTAAATAACTTTAATCTAGATTTTTTTTTGTATAGATTAATGAATTAGAACATGAATAAATGCGTTTCTTTATCATAGATCAAATAATTTGTCTCTGTAGAAATCTTTGAAATCTTTATTCTTATATTATAATATAAAATATTTATATTATAATATAAAACAGTATAGAAATTTTCTTTGAGCATTTGATTCTACATAGGAACTATTATTATCATTTCTTTTAAACTAATAAATTTATTGTAATCTATTATTATAAATTTTATAAAATAGGTATTAATTTTGATAGCAATAAAACTTGATATAAGCTAAAAATTTAGTTCAATTAAAATTTTTTTCATACAGGTTTTTTTATCTTTCTTTTAGAAGCGACAGTTCTCGTGATTCAAGCTATTTACGCATTTCGCGTTTCATTCCAACTTTAAAATAGATAGCACGATTCATTCTTTGCGAATAAATTTGCAGCATTTACAGCCTATAAAATAATGATGATCGTTTAAGCGTAGATAATTATCACGAATAGGTTCTGCAAAGCTATAAATGTTCAACTAGAGAAAGTAGTCTATGATATGTAAATAATAATAAGATATCTTTCTGTTTGAATTTAATACAAATTGATCTATTGTAAAAACGCCATCATGGGATATCAGGTAGCTTGATATAATTATTAATTTTCCTTGTAATAACTGTCAACTTTATTCTGTCTAAGTTCGTAAGATAAATTTAATTATTTCATATCGAATTTAAATATTTAGAAATTTTTGACTAAAAATATTTCTTTTTTTTAAAAAAAGTGAAGAACTTTATTCAATAAAGGATAAGAATAAATTTAACATTTATTTAAAAATTAATAAAAACAGTATTATTTGATGCCCTCCATGATAATTTGATCAATGATTATTATATTGAAAATTTCTAATATCTAAATATTTTTATAATTCCATATAACATATTTTTTTTAAACAGCGGCAGTGTTTTATACTATTTCTAAGTCTTGCTATCGTTATATCATCGGCTGGCAGAGAGAAACTTGAAAGAGCCGGGAAACTTGCTGTGGAAAAAGCAGCCGAAAAAGCAGCCGAAAGAGCAATGGAAAAGGCCTTCAATAATGGAAATATCACTACAGAATCCAAGATTATCCGTGAGTTCTATTTCAATATCAGGAAAGACCCGCGAAAAGAAAAAGAGTATGATGATTATGACAGATACAATCCAATGAATGATGAAGAAGAATCAGAGAAAGATGTGAGCGATTGGAGTACATATTCAAGATTTACCCCTAAAAATATGAGAAATAGAAGCTTTCGTCATGGTCTAGTAGATCAATTTCAGAAATTAGAAGAAGATTTCCGAGAAACATATAGTTCCTTGAGAATATTAATTGAGATAATCGTAAAAGTTGTACAAAAAAATTGTAATTGTGAAGAAAAAATTATCAGTACCTGTGACGTAAAGAAGATTCCGTATCCGATCTATAAACATGTTTCGCACGAGATTAAAATACCCATGTCACAGCCTTATGCAATAGAGGAAAAGGTGCTCTATCGGATGAAAGTCTATATAAATACCTGTCGAAGTACCAAAAGAGCCTTATTACGTCAAGACAAGTTCTTTATAGTGAAGCTCAACAATCCCGTATCGTATAAAGTTGAAGTACCGGTTACTGTAGCTATGTATTGTCAACAAATCGATACCTTACAAGATTAAAGCGTCGATCAAGGTGTAGATCGTGTACAAGATCAAGAAGAAAGTAGTGCTACCGATGAAGGTCATCCTTGACTGACTATATCCGGTACCACAGTGTCGAAACTGTATCCTATAGAAATAACTAGACCGTATTCGATAAAAGTGTCTAAACCATATCCGATAAAAATCAAAATATCTGTAAACAAACCGTATCTAATAGAGAAACCAGTTCCGGTAGCCATTAAAGATCCTCGTATACTATGAAAAAATCCGTGCCGATAGAAATAATAAAATCTTTCTGTTTCAATCAAAATATTTGTCCCTTGGACAAATCTTATGAGGTACAAGACGAGGCAGAACATTCGATCTATTAAAAAAGTCCTTTCCTTATGTCGTATAATTACTGTTTCCTATCAAACTCGATTAGAAGGATTAAGATGATACTAAGAAAAAGGAAAATCTGATAGAAAGCGAAAACGCTGACAATGAATGACAGCGATTGCAATGATTAGATCATGACTCATTCAAGCTGCAGATGTTTATATTATTTATCATTTTAATACTGTTATGAGATAGCGACGTATTGGTTTTTATTATAATTAATAGAGTTATGTATAAAGGATACACAAGTATATAGTATATATATAAAATTGCGCAACATGAAATTTTTTTCTATTAGTATAACCATTGATGTATGAATAATTGATTTTCCCAAACAACTTATGTATGAATAAAGTGAAAGAAATGAAATATATAACTGGAATTATGTTCCTATTTATTACTTCCTTATTTGTACTTGCTCGGAAAAAAAATCTGAAACTGTGATAATAAAGTGTTTTTGTCATGAAATGTGTATTGAATTTTGCCTTTCTTGTTAATAGCGTAATCTGAGAAAATAAAATGATTCCTTGTTTTACTTTAACATAATTTAAATGAAGGAATTGCATAAATTTTATGGTATATATGTAATCTCTATTAATCAATGAAATTGATTGTGTATCAGAGCATCACTAAGAATATTTAAAAATTATAAATTTGAATTCTAATCTTTTAGCCGACTTATTCAAGCATATACTTTTTTCTCTTTCAGCTATATTAGTTTCGCTTACTATTTTTTATATTTTTCGCTATATAGTTTTATTAGAATGTAACTCACAGATGTATCCATCTTTATTTAAATTAACAATTAAGGATTAAGATTTTGAGCAAGAATTATAATAAAGTGGAAAGTTATATAAATATATTTTCAGTGTTTTAATCGAACATTTTTTTTACGAAAAAATTATTAAGAGAATTTGTTATGTGTTTGAATCCAATTTAGATATTTTTTTATATTTCCATTTTTTACTTTTAAATAATTAGAATAATATTAAATTATATTTATTAATTTAAAATTTTTCCTTTCTCTTGTTATTTGCTTATTAATATACATAATCAATAATTTTTTTAGTATATTTTTTAATTATAACGAGTAATTAAAAACTCTCTGCATATTCAAAATTCAATCACAATTACGTTCGTCACAGAATGTTAAATATTATTCCTGGCTATTTTCTCGCATTGTTTGTTTAAGAATCTCGTATTTCTTATTTCAAGCAAGTCTCAAAAATCGGAAATTACCGTACAACGCACCTAGTAAACGGCACATTATAATGCGGTCGATCTCACATCAACATTCTAGAATTTATATCTTCTCTTTGTACATATTGCGTCGCCCCTCTCTCTCTCTCTCTCTCTCTCTCCTCTCTTGTCCACAACTTTTTCTGTCTTTCTTCCTAGCTCTTCCTCTCGCTCTCTCCCTCAGAGAGCTGGAGAGACCGTTAGGTGTCTATCGTCTCGGCTGAGAGAACTCGTATGAAGCTTGCCGCAATCACTGCCGCGTCTTGTTCGTTCTTCTGTGGGGACCGGATATGGAGAGGGAGAGTCCTGCCGGACAGCGATATACGGGCGAGAAACTTCCACGAGATGTAAAACGGCGGAAGGAGGAAGAGGGAGGTTGCAAAGAGAAGGGAGATGACAGTAGGGGAGGAATGGAAACGTATCCAATGGCGTAGGTGAACAAGACTAAAAAGGATTAATCATTACGTGTAAAATTTAACAGAAGAGCAAAACAATTAATACTCTTTATCTTAAATCTTAGAATATTTTCTTTGCAGACATTAATTCTTTTGGCAGAAGATTATCTCATTCATAGTATATATTTTACAATTAGTCGTTATAAAACTGTCCATCTGTTTTTAACCATTTCCTTAAATTTCGGATATGCATTTATTCCAAATGAATAATAGTCATGGAACATCTTTTTTTACGACACATATTTTCTATATCACGTATTCTCTTGAATTTTTGAATATCATCGTTGTAACTTCCGGTATTCAATTTTCCACGGTTGCTACACCGTTAGACACGATTATGGAAGCACCGACTGTATGTCTAGAATTCATAAAAAAAAAAATACCATAACGCTAAGTACGTCGGGCGAACGCCAGACGTGTGTTTCACTTTTCCGTGAGAGCGCAGAGGGGCTCGCTTAATACGCGTTGGGGGAAAGCGGACTATAAAGACGGTGGTACCTTGGGGGGAAGCATCCAGTAAAGTCTGGACTTTAACTAGATCGTGAAAGACCTGGTAGACATGAGAATTTTGGTAAGTCACACTGGATGGAATTAGCTTCCATTAATTATGCAAATTAAATCGGCTTAGTTCTTTTGCATCATCTTTTTAAATTTAAGATTTCGTTTGAAGTAAAGATGACGATAGTCGTGCGATTTTTTTAAATCAAATTAATCGCAACTAAAATTTATCGATATTTCTCCTTGATGTAAATCGTAACAAAAGCGATAAAGTTCACGATCAAAGAACAAAAATTTATCGAATGGTCAATGTTTTATATATGTAATCTCTGACACATATTATTCAAAACATATTAACAATTATATCTAGTTCATAAAAAGTATTTTTTCATCCAAAAGACATAGCATTGAAGCGATTGGTATAATCGATACAGCATTTCTATCGATATATTACAGTTTCTCGCGCTATTAGTGGGGCTGCTGGCCTTGGCCGTGTGCGAGGAGAAACAGACTAAGAAGATTGAATCAAACGAAAATGCCGAGGCCACGGAGAAGAAACAGGAGAAGCGCGGGTTGAGTCACATCGAGGGAGGTTACGGGGGACATGAAGAGGGCGGCTATGGCGGCGGCGATTACGGTGGTGGAGATTACGGCGGCGGAGGCGGTTTCGAGGGTGGTCACGATATCGGCGGTGGAGATGGTGGATACGGCGGTGGAGATGGTGGATACGGCGGTGGAGATGGTGGATACGGCGGTGGAGACGGTGGATACGGCGGTGGAGACGGTGGATACGGCGGGGGCGGAGGCGACGACGGCGGCAAGATCAAACAGATCACGATCGTGAAGACCGAAAAGGTACCTTATCCGGTTGAGAAGAAGGTTCATTATCCAGTGGAGAAGGAAGTACCGTATCCCGTTAAAGTACCAGTACCACAGCCGTATCCCATCGAGAAGAAGATACCAGTCCCGGTAAAGGTATTCGTCAAGGTACCGATTCACATACCGCAACCGTATCCTGTCGAAAAGAAGGTACCCTATCCAGTACACGTACCGGTGGAGAGACCAGTACCCTACAAAGTATACGTGCCCCAACCGTATCCGGTCGAGAAGAAAGTACCATATCCGGTAAAGGTACCAGTGCCGCAGCCATTCCCGGTGGAAAAGCCCGTACCATACACCGTAAAGGTCCCAGTACACGTGCCGCAACCCTTCCCCGTGGAGAAGCCGGTACCGTACCCGGTGACAGTGCCCGTCGAGCGACCTTACCCGGTACACATAGTTAAGCCGTATCCAGTCCCCGTCGAGAAGCCGGTACCCTATCCGGTAGAAAAGAAGGTACCCTATCCGGTCAAAGTGCACGTAGAGCGACCGGTGGCTGTACCTGTAGAGAAGCCTGTGCCCGTTCATGTTAAGGTACCGGTACCGGCGCCATATCCCGTGGAGAAACCGGTACCCGTCCCGGTCGAGAAACCTGTGCCCTACGCTGTAAAAGTGCCTGTCGAACGACCCGTGCCGGTTCACGTAACGAAGCATGTCCCTGTGACGGTACCCAAAGCGGTGCCGTATCCCGTAAAAGTGCCGGTGCCGGTACCAGTGCACGACCACCATGGTTCTTCCGGGGGTGAAGAATACAGCTACGGGGGACACGGGGGATATTAGTATTAAAAGCGTGACAGTGGAGGATTTTTCGCTCGTTTCAGAGAAAAATTAATGTATGGTAGAGGGAAAAAGAAATATGTTATAATATAAATAGCTGTCATTGAGAATCTATTAACTCGACTGATCAATATCATAATTAAAAATGTACATATAGTGTATATATTTGAAATTAGATCATTAGTAAGTTAATTCGTAAGAAAAAAAAAATTCTCCACTGCATCACGAGCGGACGTATTGGCACCTGCTACGGAATACATCTCGATAATATTTTTTCTATCAAAATTTGTCAACGCATTGTGTCGAAGAGAAAATAATTGTAGGAAACAATGACGATTTTTAACATGTTTAACGGCTGATTTTTCACTCGAAAGCGCTAACGAAGTGTTTTCTTTGCCTGACAAGTACTTCGTTCGAATATGAATTCGCGGGCGAAGGAAACGCGATGTATTTATTTTATTAATTTAGCAGTGCCGTCCACTCGGCGGGAGTCCTGGCGAGGGAAATGAGTTTGCAGAACAGTCGTTTTGCGTCACGAAAGATGATTCCACGGGTGCCACGAGTCCGCGCAGACAGCGCTAACGATTTCCTTAGATATCGACACTTAAATATGAACGCATGTTTGTGTGTTTCTCTTTCGACGTTCGTAACATGTAATATACGTCTTTTATGTTGTACCATGTCTTTCGCTTCTTTTTAATAAAACCAAAGAGCAAAACGATACAGTCTTGAGAAAAAAATTCATTCTATTGCCATATTCTACAAGAAGCCTGAAGAACTAACTTGCTTATCTTTATATGCATGTCCTTCCTCAATAAATTTCACAAATGCAATTTACGACTCTTGCAAAATCTACTATTCCTTTCTTATGAGAAAGTTATGTATCAAACCGAAACAAAGATCAATCTAGATATGTTAATTTTTTTGATCGAAAAGCCGACCGAAAAAGATCATTATACGTTACGAGGTAGAATTTTCCGTGTGCATTTTTCCTATCGGCATCAATATCCTTGAATTTCGTGACGAATCGTTTATCTTCGATCGCGCTCCACGCAAACGATATCTGTTTATGACGGTAGTATTATTAGATTTCTTGTTCCGGCAGAGAATAAGAAAAAGTAGAGCTGGCGAAAGTTTCTTCGCTTCTCGCGATTTCGGCCGGAGTTATACCCGGAAAATTCACTCGATAATTAATGCCGCGAAAGATCCTATGCGTAATTAATCTCGTACGGTCGATGAAATTGGAACTTTCCTTTATCTAGCATGACTAACGAAGAAAAGTGCGTATACGTAATACTTCCGATTCGATAATATCAGCGACTTGTTCTGTCTCGCGATCTATCATTTGGCATGTGGTTCTCAGGCATTAAATCTAATTCAAACGCGCATCATTCTAGCAACGCGTAACGATAATCGGAGAAAGGATTTCCCATCTCTCTTTCTCCTCATCTGCCAATGTGTAAATCATAAGAGGAGACGCACGAGATCGCGAATCGAAAGTGAAATCGTTGATCTCGTGCATAAGACACTCAGGTGCGGAAAATTGTTCGCAAACGAGATATGGGCGTGTTGAAAACTTTACGTACGAAAGTACTTTACGTGCATTAGCAGATATTATTTTATCTTTATCTCATCAAGAGATAAACTTATTGAAATAATAATATATCCTATAGAATGTACATAGTAAGTTATATCCAGGATATCAAATAGTATGATTATGAAAATACTGTTTTTCCTGTTATTATTATAAAATTTTTCCCACATATCTAATCTTAATTAAAATAATTACTCATAATTACTGAGATCGTTAAGAAAAATAAAAAATTAATACGTCAACACGTAATAATTTTTACGCAAAACGTTTCTATGTAATTTTCTATGCAAAACAATCGATTATTATGAGAAAACTCATATTAAATAAAGCAAAAACATGCATGAGAAATAAAATAGAAACAGCGACACTTACCTTATGTACGGGATGTCGGCCGGAATGTGATACTTCGCACCTGGATCAAAATCGTCCTCGGATCTCAGTACCGGCGGTTTTGTCCCCGCGTATTGTTCCATCAGTCTATGCCAGTGACAATTGTATTCTTCCCTGTTCACGTAACCGCGAGCAACGTCCCATCGCCATCTGTCCATCGTGATGCTGAAAGGTAGCATCACGAGTTTTTCCATTGCCAACGAAAAGAGGTAGTTGATATCCGCGGATCGTTCATCGATGAATTTGTTCGCTAGACCCAGAGTTTGCAGATGACGCGGCGTCGCGACACTCAAAGCGACAGTCTCGCCGATTGCTTCGTGAAATCCTGATAAATATAATTAATATAATTACTTATGATATAATAAGATAAATTAAATAAAAAAATTGGCAAAGATCATAATTTGCTTCCTTCAAGAGATTATTATAAAACAATATAATTATTTTAGTGTGAATTTATAATAATCAATTATGAGCTTATTTCATAATGAATTTTATCGCAATCTTTCAATTGTGAGAAAAATAATAAAAATAATAAAAAATAATTTCTTAATGTACGAATTACAATTATTTGGGACTTTTCTTTATGATTTAATATCTTGAAGTGTTGGAGTGTTATTCTTTTAAGAGAATTTGTAAACGCTTTACAAGAGTTCGGATGTTTGATAATCGAACGTCACGGTGAAAGTCGACATCAGATGAAACAGATGGCTTGTCGCTGAGTTCCGTCTATGATTATTGCAAAGTTTCTCGAGGTTCTCCGGTCTACACAGATAGCTAGATCGGTGGCTTTTTTGCGCACGATGATTTAACGTTAACCAGGATGTAATTAGTAGTTTGAACCAATAATTCGAGCGTGGTAGATGACGTTGATTATTTCTCTTTGGATCACATTTCCTTATGCAAATTGTACTTAGCACTCGAAAGTGCAATTAAAATAATTTCATAACTCGAAGTTAATATTAATTGGCCACTAAGTAAGTGGGAAATATAGATGAATAGAGAGATAATGCAATATATATAATATACAAAAATAATTGTATAAAAATAATAATGGTATATATTGAGATAAGATGAAATTTACATCCTGGATAAAAATTGTTTACGTGCAGATAAATAAAATTCGTTTGAACGTACATCATAATTTTAAAATAATTCTAAATCATAATAACGCGGATTCCGGTGGAAGCGATAATAAGCGTCTTTGCGAGAGAGATCGAGGCATTGCTTGCAAATTTTATGCGAAATCGATCGGCAAGGCCACCTCTATGAGGTTGTTCTCGTTCGAAAACAATCTGTGTTCCGGTATAAGGCGAATGACCGGGTCTGGCCGACCGGCCGGCCATTGCGACGGTGAAAGCGCGATTGCACTGTAATAAAAATATTTTAACATCCGACGCCAATGTACGCGAGTAACATCTACTCGCCTATTCGCGAGTAGTGTAATGCGCAGCATACACCTCGAGCGTATCGCTCTCGCTCTCGCTTTCGCGCTATTAGTTGTAAAAGTACACAAGTCGGCCGTGCCTTCCGGAAGTCGGGCCAGAAACGAACGATGTATTTACGTAATGCGTGTCGTCTGTCCGATGTTGTATGCCATCATCGCTCCAGCTATTTCCATCTTATTATTCTAGTCGCTCGGATTTTTTCTTCCTGATGTAATTTTTCATTCGCATTCGTGTATTGTGATAAACATCAGCGACGTTAACAATAGACGTAGGTGTATTGTGCGCGTTTTATAAAACCGCATTAATAGTTTTATGACGTAACGCTAGAGCATTTATTTAACGTCTATTTATTTATTGTGAAAAATAATGTATGATTTTATTTTTGCATTTATTTTGATGATTATTCCGTTGCAAAAGGATTTGTTTTCTGTTATGTAATTTGTTTTATTCTTTATTTTATCCATTCTTCTTAATTATTTAATTTTTTTTGTAACTTTTTAATTTTATAATAATAATAATTAAAATTTATTATAATAATAAGTATTTAAAAAATTCTAAATGTATTTTTATACCTGGATTAGCGCCATCACGAAATTCGCGAGGTAGACCGCTATACCGTAAGAAATACTGAATGTGTGCCATCTCATGATGTAGAGTTATCAGATCCTTCATTGTCACTTTTGTACACATCTTAATCCTAAATATATATACAAATATATTAAATTATGTAATCCTAAATATATACAAAAAGATATTAAAAATTTTTATTTCCTTGCATTTTATAAATATTAAAATATAAGTTTAGTATTTGTTTATAAAATTTTTAAGATGCTTTCAAAAATCTTTTTGATATTGTTATTAAATAATATATTACATAACGTTGTCTATATATTATACATGTACGTATTGATAAGTGAATTTACCTGTAATCTAAACGATTGCAAAAGTCCCACGCAGAGGCTTGACAGATTAGTGGACGGTCGCCCGGGTCGGCGATTATACTTCCGGCCCAAAATTCCGGTGGCATAGCACTCAAGTTCAAGGACAGATAAAATTCCTCGGCCACTCGAATCATGTCAATTGGTGTATAGCCCTATAATATTCAATTATCAAAATTAATTATACATTTAATAATTATCAATGTTGATTGTACATACGTAGTGTATAATAACACATGTATGATATAAAATATTAATTACAAAAATTAATTAGAAAAGTGTAGAAAGATCTTACTTGAGCTTGCATTTCTGGTGTGACATCAGGATATGTCTTTCCAGGATACGGTAAGGTAACATCTAAGAGATTGCTCCAAGATTGTGCCCATATATTACCTGTAATGAAAATAATGATATAATTACATAACAATAAATAATATTTACATATAAAAAGTTTATTATATTTAGATAGTTTATAATATTGAAAAATTATTGGTATATTTATTGTTATTTGGTGCATTATTTATAGAAATAATTATACTTGAATTTTATATATATATATATATATATATATATATATATATGATATTATACATGTAGTAATGCATAACATTATTTTTACCAAGGATATGGGATGGAAGAGGCGCATGTCCGCCGATTTTTTCAGGACCGTAAAGTTCCCTTAACTTTCTGCGAATATAAGCATGCAATTCTTCGTAAAGTGGACGTATCATTTCCCAAACCTGGTCAATATCTTGTTGAAAATTGAGAGATTCATAAGGGAACATCCAGTATTCAGAAGCATCCGTAAAATCTATAAAAATAATAATATAAGCACTTATAATATTCGTGATATATAATCGATGCCATTATTATTTAATGCGTAATTTAATTAAAATATATGATATTTGAATCATTTCTTGAACAGTTTTAATACCGCCATTTTTATTTAATTTAAAAATTTATCGTATTTTTACATTAACTTCGAATTAACATTAAACCTACTGTTCAATCTTGCAGCATCATTGTTCAGCGTAATCAGTTGTTGATATAGATCTTTAATCGGTGTACCACTTCGTCTTCTCCATTCAGTCCAGACGTATTGCAATTCATCCCAGTCTCGACTTTTTGCCATAATTTGCGATATATCTGTAATAAAAGACGAAAAATATAGTCAATGTTAAAGTTATATATTAGTTTATATTTTTTTACATTGCTATCTTGTTCGAGATTTTCTGAGATTGTCGAGTATCTTTCGACCGATGTTCATGTTTTAGTGTCTGCGGAAAAACTGACCATTCTTTCTCTTGTCTTGAGATACATAACAGATTTAAATTGGTGTATTTTAGCAAGAATATTACTAGACATAAGCAACCGAGACGTAACATTCATTTGTCAGAAAATCATGTACCGAATCGTAAATTTCTGGATCGAGTCGCGTAAACTTATCCTTTTTCACTCAAAACCTAGATACCTTTTTCAATGTAGCTAATCATCACTTCGCGGCAGATGCGAATTTAATTGAATTCCTATAATAAACAGTATTTAATTGCGTGGCGTATTTGCTTAATTAATTAATTATTCGCTTTCTACACGTGCACGCTCTACTATGATCTCGGAATGATTATTTATTTCGTGTCTAAATGAGCGTGCCTACGAATTTACATTGTAAAAATAATAGACAATTAGGAGCGCATATAGCGGCATAGAAGTCTTCATAAATTAACGGAAAAGGAGGGACTCCCTCGGCGAACGCGAGTGTGCGTGACGTATTCTACTTCTTCACACTTTCATGCGCATTTTGGACTTACGTAAACTCTCCTGCGAAGTTTCGCCGCAACGAACTGTGTATGAACACGGTGGTATCATATGGAATCGATTGTTATTTAGCGTAATCTGTGATATATTACCTGGATATAAACGTAATCCACATCGGAAGGGATCGTTGTAAGCACATATGGTGGCTCCATTATAAACCGCAAGCATATCATTGGTTAAGCGATTGTACTGTAAACAAATAATTGTTTACAATACAAAAATGTTTGCAATACATAAGGTGTGTGTTTATTATTAAGTAAGCAATATTTCAGCTATTTGAATACAATTAACATTTACCCTGTCTAATTGATCAGGTGGTAGTGCCGAAGGACCGACGACGAATAAATAACGAAGCCGTCGTCTAATTATAGGATCCTGAATAGAATTTATGTCAATTCTGGAAATCAAAAGCCAAGCTTGATATTGGAAATCCGCATATAACCTTTGTGCATCCAGCTGAAAATGTAATATAAAATTAATATGCATTAGAAGTAATTCTTATGTAAGAATAAAAATTTTTCAATATAATGTTTATATAAAAAGAAACATATGTAAATAAATTATATTAATTATTTTTAAATGATAAAAATAAAAATTATGTATTGTTACTAAATTTCTCATATAATTTTCTCACATAATTTCTCATATAGTTATAAAGTAACAGACAATTTAGAAAAAGTAGTCATTGTATAATTGTTGCAATAATTACATGACATAAGCAAATCTGTCAATAACTAATAAAGAAACGCGATTGCAATAAAGCGCAAAACTTTGTGAAGTGCAAGTGAACAACGGTTTTACCGTTAGAGATAAGACCGGCATAGATAAAATATATCTATTTGTGCCTTTTCGTAACAGTAACCTGTTTTCAGAAAAATGTGACTAAGAAAGTGAAATTGCATTTGAGTCTTTCTATATTTAAACGCAATTATAGTGCAAATATTATATATATATATCAAGATTTTGATTATTAATGATTATCTTAAGAGTTAAATATGTACTTATGTACATTTATTATAAGAAATCGAAAGATAATGGCTACATATATGTAAATGCAAAATCCAATTATACAATATTTTTAAATAGTACGTTAACATGCATTTATAAGAAAAACTTACGCAAAAAATATTATGCAACATGCGCGATAAAATATTCTTATTGCCATTAAAATAATTCATGTTTATATGCACATGTGTGTGCGTGTGTGTATGTGTATACAATGTATTATATGTATATATATATATATATATATATATATATGTATATGTATAAACTTATAAAAAATAAATACTTAACGCGGTTTATATAATTGCGCAAAATTTAATCAGTTAAAAGATAACTTCAGTGATTGATACTTCCCATGCGATAATGAGCAAGACGATGATTCGTGCATGGAAATTTTCAGTCACGGAAAAGGAAAACAACATCTTGATTATGTTAATGTCACGCGACGCAAGCTTGGTGGAGTTTCGCATTGAAAAGTACAAAATTCCCGTTCCCCAGCGATACGAGACGGGTAATTGCAAAATCGCCTGAGAAGATTTCCCGCGGAGGCGTTCGGCCTTTTGCGGACAATACAAACGGTCTTGTGTCAGGGAAAATTGTGATCGCGATGTGCCTACAAAATAGCATCAGTGCTTCGTCAACCGATGGACAAGTCGATGTATGCAAGCATCACGAAGAATCACACAGGAGGAGGTCGAGGTCTCATTGGAGATGTTTCATAGGATGGATGGGAAACTTATACGATTGTACGTGACTCATTTTCCATGATTATCATTGTATTTCGTTTTGGTGTTGAAAGTTTAACACCTTTCTAAACTTTTACCTATGTAATTGCATATTTTACGATAATAATTTCAATCTAATGTATCTTTTATTTCAACAATGAATATTAGAATACAAGATTTTTTTATTTTCATACTTAAAAGGCACATTTGTTTTCTAAACTTTAACTTCTAATTGTAAATATGGGTCATTGCTCTTTTAAAACAAGAAAAATATATTTTCTTGGAGATTTATTAAAATATTATTTTTAAATTTTATTTATTTGGTTAATATAAAATATAATTTTTCTTAATAATTTTGTTGAATCACCGACGGATTTATATTACATTGTAAGATAGCCTAAATTACAAATACAGGCTATAGATACATGCGGGTTCCACCGCCGAAAAGAGAGTTTCGAAATTTGTTAGCCTGATTAATGAAAGAGTTAAGTATCAGAAACTACGCGGTATGATAAAGTGATTAGTCATTTAAAGAAAGTAATATTATTTATATTACTTAAAAAATAAATTCCTTACTTAAGGAATAGTAAATAAATGATAAGAAATAATAAAGAAGACATAATCAATAAAAAAGTAATACTTCTTAAAATAGATTTAACTGTCTTAGAATTAGTCTTACCGCTTGCAGCTGTGTATATTCATTGGCATTGGTTTCGTACGCCCACTGAGCTATTACGTTGGCACTGCATCTCTCTGCACCGAGGAAATCTAATCTAGCTAAGATATTTCGGTAATCTACTTCATTGGAAGGAAGTTGACGGCCAATATTGTCGTCCCTGTATGGTGGCAAGTCCAATTGACCGAAAATTGCCGGCAGCAAACAAAGTACGAACGCTGTCCATCTTATCTATATCAGATTATATATATTTTTGTATTAATTATAAATTCTAAACAAAAGCCAACAAAGTTATATAAATAGCAAATTGTGATCCAATTAATTTTAAATTAATAAAGGAGTAATTAGATTAAATTAAATAATCTTACACACACACACACACACACACACACACACACTGTTCTACTGTTGAATTGTATATAAAATATTTTTTTAAAAAATTACATTTATTTTAATTGAATTTTTTACAAACTTTATATCTAATTTTACATTAATAAATATTTTACTTATTATTTTATTTCTGTGTCTTATGTGTCAATCTCGATTTAATTTTTAATTATTTGAGCCAAATTTCAAAAATTATTAAATTTTATTTCTATGTATATCATTATTGATTATATTATTATTTATAGTATTATTAAGTCTAGCATACAATCTTTCTCTCTAATATTCTTACAATCAAGATTTAAATAAAGATTACCAATGCAAATAACATATTTAAAAAATGATCGATATTAACATTGACTCATAAACGTAAAGTCACTTGAAGTTCTTAAGCTATCGCTAGGGTCAACTACCCTTAAGTCGTTAATATCATTGGGCCAACTATCTTATTTCTAGAATCGATAAAATTGATATTTCTAAGGTTGCAAATAGAGTATAATTACGTGAATTTCACTTATGTCCATCGTCTTTTGCTTGTTTACTCGAAATTATTAAGTTAGTCATATAAGTGTAATAAATTTTGTATTTAATTTTCATTCCAGTGCTTGTTAATATATATAGAATATATATGTTGTTAATATATATAGAAAAAGAATTCTCCATAATAAGTTTTCTTAAACTTTTATGTGAGAAGTTTCATAATGATGTCATGAGTTTTCATTTTTATGTTTTATTCTTTACAATTATGGTATTTCTATCACTCAAAAAAATGATTTTGCAACTATAGCAAAAATTTTTTAGGTGCGAAAAATTAACTGAGGCAGATAAACGATTAGCAAATATTGTAATATCGTATATATTTTGCACGTAATCAATCTAAATGACAGAGACAGAATTTATATCTGAACTGTTTGTGAAATTTAGAAAGAAAGTTTTTCTGTGGCGCCTATCCATGTTAAGATCAATCATACTTGTTGTAAAGTTTGGCTGTGGTACACAGAAAAGACTAGCAGCGAGAGACAAATGAATATATAATCCTGATACTTAATATAATTTGTACAACGCATCTAATCTATCATTTTTAATCGCGCATCACGCATTCAACGATCATGCGCAAGTTCGTCGATTCAGTAGATTAAACGCTATACGCAGTAACAGCGTTACGTGTTGACGACGCAATTCTGTAAAATTGTGATGAAATTGTGTTTATTGTGAAGTATTATTCTGAAAAATTTTCGTATTATAATTATGGCAGATAATAATGACTGTGAATAATTATTGTAATGACGATTGAAGACATATTACCTGGACCTGGAATCTCGAGCAATAGGGATCGGCGTAGTTATTGTAAAGTTTTTGTAACTAGTCACATTATGAATAAACTTTCTTTTTAATGAGATGGTACTACTCAATATTATAATTTTTTATCTAATTAATTACATAGCTTTTTTAGCGTATCTATGCAATTTAAAAGAGAGACAGTTTCGGTCAACGCCTCCTTTTTTTATTGAATTGTATTCGCTTAGCGTTGCATATATATATATATATATATATATATATATATATATATGCATATACGCTAAAACGCTTTGTTATTAATTTAGCTATAAAAATAAATTAGCTGTGATATCTATAATATATTGACATATTATCTCGATGCTGCAGTTATAATCAGCAGCTATATTTTTTACAAAAATTGTTCTATTTGCAGTATTGAAACTCATATTTATCCAATGCGATGATTAATATCTAGCAATAGGATTTAAATTTTCTAGCAGACATTGCTAGAATGTTGCTGCTATAAATTCTATCTGTGACAAACGATATTCTATCAGATACAAAAAATAGCGATAAATTTTGGTTGTGACATCTAGAAATCTACCTACATTTGCAAAACATTTTTTTGAGTGATAATTATAATGTATAAATAAAGTTTGAATAATTTTAAGACAGTCGAATGTATATTATTAGTATCAGAAGAATCAAATAAAAATCTTATCAATTGTTTCGAAAGTCATTTTATCAATTGTGTCAAAAATTCAAATCGTCAAAATCATTATAAGAATTGCAATATAATGACTTAGTATTGAATTCAGCTTTCTGTTGCAATATAATAATTATAATTATAAACGATTTGCAAAATGATGAACCTTGCGTCATGGATTAGCGTGTCAAAAACTACCACGAAAATTATTATGGAACATGTCTTACAAATTAATATAGGAACCTCATTGTTTTCATCCGCCATGACATTATGAGGAAAGCATTTACGCGCAATTCATTTGTTGGTCTCACGGTCACGTGTTACGTCTTCGCGTTACGTACTTCCTTCCAGTATGAAAGGTACCTGCTTAGCCACAGTAGTAGGTCATTTGCGATTGATCGAGATGCAATGACCTTGATTCCATTTTCTCATTGAAGAATATATATTTCATATTCTTATTTTTTAACTTGCAATTAATTATATAATATTTAAGATTTTGTGTTCTTTTGACAAAAAAAATTCTCATTGTTTCTCAGCTAAAATACACATTTTAATATTAATTATATACAAATATTTAATTATTTGTATAATAAATGAATGATATATATAATATTTTGATTATTATTAACGTTCATAAAAGTTTAAAGTTCATATATAATATAAATAATTCCAGAATATATTTATATAAAAATTAAAATAAGTTTTTAATACTGTGTATTTATAGATTTCAATATACTCGTGCATTAGAATCTAATAGATAATTTAAGAATCGAAGCATTTGTGTGAACAATATTGTATCTATTTTATAAATATTTTATGCAAAATTGATTTAATTTTGCAAATATAGTGATCCTCTTGATACAAGAGAATATATCACACTATGTCAAATATAAAATTAATTCAAATATAAAATAACCAACGTAAATTAATTATTCTTAATTAACTACTACTAAAATCAAAGCTTATTTAAAATTTCTTAAATAATATTAACAATCATTATCTCACTTTTAATTAATTATAAATTTTAAAATCTTTCTTTTTTTATAAATTTCGGGAAAATAAGAAAATATGTATGTATCTGCATCAATTAAATATTAATTATAAATAGATGCTATGTGCAAAATAGAAATTTGTTTGATACGTACTGTATAAATAATTATAGATTAAATTGCATGTTTATACCATAATTATTATATGATATAATTAGTATCTGATTATTCTTATAATACATTCTCAATTTTACTATGTGAAAAGTTGACACAGTTTTTAACATTAGATTCGTTTATCTTCTTGCTATTAAGTGTGTTAATTTACTTAATCACACGTTCATTTCGTAAATTAGATTAGACATCCACTATATTTCTTTCAACATTAGAAGGAGCACACTTATTATTTTGATGCAGCATCTTTGTATCATTTACATTTCTAATTTTTTATCAGAGTCTTCTTGATGATTTATTATTAATTATAATTGTGCAATTTTCAAAATAAATTTAAAGTTATTTATTTTATAAATCTGTCATTAGAATAAGATGGATAGCAATTGCTGAACCTCTTTTAGCGTTAAAATCTGTATCGCTAGGAAAATAGGCACATTGATGAAGACTTACGAAGCTTACGCTAACGCAGTTTAACAGCTTCCCCGTCTCACTAAAAGTAAACTCCATGTGTTTTGAAAATAGAATTGATTTTGATTCTCGATAATGATCATTTACAACTGCCGATCGATTGCACGCAACGACGTCGCCGTCGTCGTCGTCGTAAAATTTTGTTCCACCGATCGAGCACGACTAACACGAGTGATGATTTCGTTCTGCCGACACTAAAAGCCTCGTGGCCGACGTCAAGTGTACATTTATCCCTACGAAGCTGTTCGAACGCGTCCACGGGGAGGTCAACTGTAGCGAAAGAAGTGGGGAATTCGCATATACCTTATTCATGTCGTTAGTTTGTCGGTGTCGCTGCTGCTCAAACGGATAGTCGTGGGAGTAAGTGGAAGTAACCGAGGACGAAGAGGAAGACGAAGAGTTCTATGACATCGGACGTGCGAAAAGAACAAGAAGGAAGAAAGAAGCGAAGCGTTTGGATAAGCAATAAGGCAGACACACCTGCAGATACAGGAGAAGATACAGATTAATTGTAAAACTAAAAAAAGTGTTTAAAAATGGAATAACGAATTTGTCTTAGATTTCTAAAATTTTTTTCGGCATATTTCACGAGAGTAAAAATTAGCACGATTTTATTTCTCCCAAAATGTGTGTATCTACCAAAAAAAAGGAAATAAAAAAGAAGCGCAGCTAACAGCAAGAGAGAGAGAAAGAATGGAATGATAGGGGTCGAGAGGCCAACCTGGCTGCCGATTGCGACAACCTAAGACTCTCACGTTGACAAGAATGAGTCGTCGACGCTTCTCAATGAGACTCATTGTTTATCGGAGTGCATGTCCGCCCGACGCAATTTTGCAAAACGTATTTAAGATTGGTTTTCACGTAGTCTTTAATAGAAAATTGTATCAGACAGCGGTCAGAACTTATTCAGAATAAGAATAATGAATTTGTTTTCTTGACAATGACTTGATAAAATTTAAATATGAAATAGATATCGAGAATTTTTTTTCTTGATAGATGTATTTATAATGATTGAGTGGAAATTTTGCAGCAATTTATTCTTGAAGACTTGCATTAAAAAAATTTAAATTGCACCGATAAATAAAAAGATTATCAATGCATTATAAATAACGCACTTTAAATAACGGAAATAATGAATTTTTAATCTTGTATTAAAATGATAAAAATTAGAAATCTTTATTAAATTTATCAAATTTGATAAGCCAAATAATAATTTAATCTGTTTAAAATATTATTAAAAGTAATTGTATGTGTATTAATATCCTGCATATATAATACAGCGATTTTTAATTATAAAATCCTGAAATTCATTAGATTATGTCATTTTAATATTAAACTAAGCGCTCGAAATCAATAATTAATAATGAATTAATTATGAATCAATAATGACAAGCAAAATATAAATAAGATTGCAGAAATTGCTAGTGTAATACTTCCTGTGCATCATTCATAGATGAATCGAAAAGGCGTGTTTATATGAAACATCGATGATCAGGTTCCGCGAAGCATTGACTTAAACTAAAACTGACTCTTGCAATTTCTAGCATTATGAGATGACTCATAGCTTACGAGTCTATCCGCGTAATTATGCTTAATCTCATCAAGATTACGACGATATACGTGCCGTTTCCTGATTCCAATCGACCTCCTGAGAACTATGGCACCATTGTTAAAACTCGAGATAAAACCTACAATATGGAAAGAGATCGGTGAATTGCTAGATTGGATTCATGCATTTGTTGCAACAATTGGATATTTTAATCGCATCTATCGTGTTCATCGACAAGGAATTTATCTCAACGCCAGAAAATATCGTCATTCCGGATGTTGTGCATCAAAAATTATCTGTAAATTATTTATAATATATGCGGACCGATTCATCAAACATATATGCGTAATGTAGCGTATAAACGCAGATATAAATCGGTTCACATATGTATTATACAAATGTTTCTCGTGCGTTCGCGCTGTGGCTGATCTTGAACTACATGTTCCACTTCGCTTTCATAATTGGCGCTCTCTTTAACAGTCTGATAGCGACTACATGTTATCTAAGAATTGTGATTAACATGACAACGGCTTGTAATAATAAAAAGCATAAACAACCACACCCAATAAACTGAGAAAGGATAGTCTCACGATGATCTGGAATGTATATAACTGCAAATAGTCTAGGCCACTTTACCAGACCTTGAATCGTTATGGCGAAGTTCTTATGTATCTGCATATTCCATATAGCGCCGCTATATAACTAGCTCATATGTATCCGTTTACGTAATACGTTTACATGTTTATTGTGAATATTATATAATATAGAAAATGTGATTCATATAATTTGTTCTTAGATTTTGAGTTTTATGCATCAAACGTGTCTTTTATTTCACGTTAAAATGGAGAAAATATAGGTATAATACTCTCCAACATTGATTATTATTACACTTTATTATTATTTATATTGTATTAATTATAATTATAGTTTTAATTTTTTTTGAAAATATATAGAGATAATAATTTTTAGTTCATTTTTATCAATAAATAATTTGGAATTCCTTCTTAACTAATTTTGTTTTATAATTTTTTTACTTACAATTTTATTTTAAAATAATTTAAGTTTTAAATAAAATAGAATATTTATTATATAATAAATATAATGAAATTTCAAGTTTTATTAATTCTTTTGTTTTAATATTAAGCTTTTTTAAATATTTTTTAAGTATGAATAATAATGATACCTTTTTATACACCAGAATCTGGGATATAAAGGTAAATTCTACCCCGTAAAATTAAGTCAATGCATACGCCCTGGAATTACATCTTCAATGCCATTCATATTATTGTTAAATTTGCGCAGGTATCTCACTTAAAAGCATACGCTAGTTCTGTGCGTGCTGAGACTTCGCTAATGCTAATCTTATTGGCAGATAATGCGAGCATCGGTCTCACGTACTGACCACAATTCTAGGTTCAAGTACGAATATAACGTTTACTATATATTTATATCGTACAATTATGTATTTCTCGAGGTTTTTTTTGTCACTTTTGATCGAATCTTAATCGACATTGTTGTAAAAGCGTAAAATAATAGACAGATAAAAGAAGAAAGATAACGTTACACCAATATTTGAGCAATTCGTCGAACTATAATGCTAATTTAAGTGGCACAGACTACAAGAAATTGACGGAAATGCATTGAATGCGTTTTCCGGTACTTTCGATCATTGTTATTCATATATACAGTTATAGACAATTCTCCAATTTCCTTTCCTCAAACTCAGGTAAGTGTTTAAGACTTTGGTATCGATCCTAATAAATACCATCTTTTCTATTTCATTGACGTCAGTTAGTTTTTCAATTGTTGTATCATTTCTATTTTTAGCGTCATTGAATTTTGTTATATATTTAACTTATATCTTTAAAATTTGAATGAAAATTCAGATATATTAATAATAACAAATATATGCTGACGGTGAGAACTTGCAGAATCATTAAAAATTATGAAAAATTATTTTAAATAATTTATTTATGTCATTCTCTTTAAAAAACATTTTATAATTCTTAAACATTTTATTTCTAAATTAAATTTATATGAAAATTAATGAGCAATAATTTAATTATATTACAATGTAAAGATAAGTATTAAAAAATACGAAGAAAAAAGAAAAAACTCATTCATCGTTTTTTGCGACACATATTTATTTCCTTCTTGAAAAATCTGATTTTTCTCTCTTTAAAATCTTGGAGTTAATAAAATGCATGCATCTCTATAAAACTATAAATTTTTTTATGTGCATGTATATTTATCATGCGATAAAAAAAATGTGATTGTAATACGTGCGAATAATTATTTATCTGTTGAGAGAACGTGGGAAAGAATGTCGAGATGCGTAACCGGTATTACGCAAATTCTGTTAAGAATTATTCTGAATAAAATGCGATAAAGCACGGATGGAAGATTATTCAAGCAGCCGACAAAATTCTTCATCGATTTGCAGGAAAATCTGAGTGCTTCGTTGAATATTTTCCTTCAACAAAAAACGGAAAAAAATAATGCTATAACAAGTAAGTCATGCAGAGAAATACATTACAATTTCCGCGGTAAAATTGATTTCATGAACTCAATCGCGAATAACAATAAGAAACTGGCCTGATTGCCGGTCGATCTTCAAGGTAATTTCGCTGACTATGACCGAGAAATAAATAAAGCGGAAATGTAATATAGCTAACGTATTATATAATTATTGTTTTATATTAAATGGGTTATATTTTACATTAAATAAATCGTTTTTAGCTACGCTAAAATTAAGTATGCTAGTCTTGTATTGCATGAACTATCTGCCGACAAAGCACTCTTGCGAAGTACAATCGAGTAAATAAAACTATAAAATGTGTTTTATACATGCTATTTCTAACTCGTCGTACTTAAAATATAAATGAAGATGAGTATGATATTTCTTTGTGAATACTAGTTATGATAGATTCTGAATTTTTCGGTTAGGTTGCAATTTCGCAAATAAGATAAAAATAATTTATAATACAAGATTTATTGCCGAAGCATGTAGCGTCAAATATAAATAAAGAATATGCTTTCTTTAATATTATAATTATTGAAAAAAAATATTATTTATAATTAATAGAAATACTCTCTCTCAAACATTCGCAAAAGACATAACAATATTGACATAATATTAATGACATATTAATGACACAATATTAATGATTGTCTTTTCTTATGTTAGATGTGTTTTTCTAATTTGTCGTAATTTTATTTGTACAAAATTTTTCATGTACCACTGTTTAAGTCGTGCGCTTAAGATAATTTCATCGCTTTATTACGTAGTCATTAACGAGAAGATTGTTGCTTGTCGCCCGGTACTCACGACCCTGCGTACTCTCTGAATCACATCGATTGAGTAAGAGTCAACCTTCCTTTTTCCATATACACGTACTGCGATATGTATGTCGTGTGACTTGATGCGACACACGCGGGACCACAAAGAAGGATAAAAAAAACTTTATTTAACGAGAGATACACACGACAGTTATGCAACATCAAAGGATCGTTAAAATTTGCATAGCGCACAATTTGTAGTTTTTTATTGTGCTTCCTTCATGAATTTTATAATGCAGAATCTTTCAGAAATTCATTATAAATTCATTTGACGTTCGTTTTAACCGTTGCAATTGTGAAATTGAATTCATTAATTCAAATCGTATGTGCATGCATTTGTAA